AGCCGCATGTTGAAATAAATAGATATGTGATTTAACCTGTTTTAAATGATGTATTCAGGCCTGTAGCGGGGGGGGGGGGGGGGGGGGTTAGGGTTCAAGAACGAATAAACAGGCCTGTAGCGAGGGGGTGGTTTTAGGGGTTCAACCCCCCCCCCCGAAATGTTTCAGATTTTTTTTTAAAAACCTGGTTTACTCATGAATTTTAACTGGTTAACCAAATCCCCATGCTAAGTCTATGAGATGCAAAAAATTAAGAGTCCCTCCAGAACTGCAAGCACTATCTCAAGCAAATATTATCAATTTATTCACACTGTCATTACTTGCAGCAATAGCCGATGTAGTTGTTCTGGTACAGCTGTACCAGGAGCTCCAACTTTATTTGCTTTGTATTAAATGTTTGCTTGCAGTCCTAGGTTTCAGGGACTCTGCAGATAGGTGGCTTCTTTGGTTGCAGTCATAGGGCAAGTCACCTGTCCATCATTGTTAAGTTTTGGTCCCGCCCCTTGCTCAGTGCAATTGGGAAGGGAAGGGAGCCATTTTTAGTTAGTCTCAGCAAGGTAAGCTTATGTATAGGATGTGTGCAAGCTTCCCCTGTACAAAAGCTTCAACCCTTAAGACCTTCCGGGGGAGAAAGGTCTTAAGAGTCTCCAAAGAATTTCCAGGAAAACAGCCCTAAAGACCAAAGAACTCCAGCTGGAGAACATCTACTGCCTTGCTGGTAGGTCCACTCGGCGTTCGAGACACAGTTCGACCCGGTAGCGGAGCCCACATCAGTAAGGGTTAGATTACAGTCAGCCTGGGAGAAGTTAAAAAGGGGATTTTCCTTTAAAGAAGAAGTTATTGAAGACAGTTGCCTGTCCTTCGTGGGCAAGATTAGGAATTCACCAGTTGCCTAAAAGCTTGGAATCATTTGCTTAACTTTACTGAAGACAAGAGAAGTTTCTGTTTGATTGTTCATTAATAAAAGACTTTGTTGTACTTCTCAAGCCATCTAAAGACTGTTTGTGGTGGAAACCTCAGAGAATTTCTCTTTAGGCCCCCTGGCTTCCCGCTGGGCAAAGGTTGCACATCCTGTTCTAAAGACAATTATTTACAGGCCCACCGCGCGCGACAGAAGTGAAGCAACCAAGTTGGGGGGGGGGGGAGTTGAATGCTCTCATTAAGGAGGCCAGACTTGGTGGAGGTGGTTGACAAGGGCGGAGCTGCAGGCTATTGAAGGCTGCTCTGCCCCCTGCTGTGCTCTTTGCTTCAGCGTGAGCTAGGAGGCAGGTTTCAACCCCCCCTGCGAAATTTTCAACCCCCCCCCCCGAAAATTTCAACCCCTCCCGAATTTTTTTTCTGGCTACGGCCCTGGATGTATTTATGTGTGTTTGGCATGCAGTTGTTGCCAGTCTATACGCCGCCCTGAGTCGCCTTTGGGCTGAAAAGAGCGGGATAAAAGTGCGTTAAATAAATAAACAAACATTGATTCTCAGGAGAGTTCATTTCCATGAGAATTGCAGCCATTTCCAAAAGGGAAGACGTGTTAACACCTGTTCCAATGCTTGCCATTTCCAGGTGGTGGCAGAAAAGAGGTAAAGCAGGGCAAACTTCACAACTCTGGATCATCTTCTCTTTTCATTTCTGGCCTTCTAAATGTATATACACACATGAAGCTGAATTAGACCATTGGCCATTGAGCACATACTGTTTATGCTCGGCTGGTCGTGGCTCACCGAGGCCACAAGGCAAGGAAAGACCTTTCTCAACTCTGTTAACATGTATCTGCAAGCAAATAATTTGTTCTGCCATCCACATCCTTTCCCAAATCCTCCCTCCTCTCTTACAATCTGAGAACAGCAAACCAATCATGCTGTGGGTCTCGCTTTAGCCTTGACCCCAAGCTGTAGCTATATGTGTTCATCTTGCCCAGAATTTTTGGTGCCAGCTGTGCTTGTCCTTGTTTGTTCTTGGACTGTGTCTGCTTCCAAGCCTGCTCTTCTTGCTAAGTACAAATTTCTCCTCTAACATGATGTCTGAACACTTGAGTTTGGGGAAGCTCTGCCTGAGTTGTATCATGAATTGTGCAGACAGGCGCTGGGTAAAGTTTGTGCATGTATGTGTTATACAAGGTGCTTCTGAAGGGTCTTTTCTCTGTATTGTCAAAGGTTTTAATGGCCTGAATCACTGGGTTGTTGTAGATTTTTTCGGGCTGTATGGCCATGTTCTAGAGGCATTCTCTCCTGACGTTTCGCCTGCATCTATGGCAAGCATCCTCAGAGGTAGTGAGGTCTGTTGGAACTAGGAAAATGGGTTTATATATCTGTGGAATGACCAGGGTGGGACAAAGGACTCTTGTCTGCTGGGAGCTAGGTGTGAATGTTTCAACTGACCACCTTGATTAGCATTTGATGGCTTGGCAGTACCTGGGGGAATCTTTTGTTGAGAGGTGATTAGATGTCCCTGATTGTTTCCTCTCTGTTGTTTTGCTGTTGTAATTTTAGAGTTTTTTAATACTGGTAGCCAGATTTTGTTCATTTTCATGGTTTCCTCCTTTCTGTTGAAATTGTCCACATGCTTGTGGATTTCAATGGCTTCTCTGTTTAGTTCACATGGTGGTTGTCTAGGGACCGCATAGGGAAGCTGATGAGGAAACCCAACATACAAACTATCTACAGACCCACCAAGAAAATCCAACAAATGCTACGTTCAGCAAAGGACAAGAGGGATCCTCTCACCTCTGCAGGAGTCTACCGTATACCATGCAGCTGTGGACAAGTCTACATAGGGACCACCAAATGCAGCATTGCCCAAACACAAATCAAGGAACATGAAAGGCACTGCAGACTACTTCAACCAGAGAAGTCAGCCATAGCAGAGCACCTGATGAACCAACCTGGACACAGCATATTATTGGAGAACACAGAAATGCTGGACCACTCTAATTACAACAACAAAACAACAGAGAGGAAACAGTCAAGGACATCTAATCACCTCTCAGCAAAAGATTGCCCCAGGCACTAACAAGCCACACCAAACAACTGCCAGGCCATCAAATGCTAATCAAGGTGGTCAGTTGAAATATTCACACCTAGCTCCAGCAGACAAGAGTTCTTTGTCCCTCCCTGGTCATTCCACAGATATATAAACCCATTTTCCTAGTTCCAACAGACCTCACAACCTCTGAGGATGCTTGCCATAGATGCAGGCGAAATGTCAGGAGAAATGCCTCTAGAACATGGCCCTATAGCCCGAAAAAACCTACAACAACTCAGGTCTTTTTTTTGCCCAACATCAAGCCACAACACTTGCTCATGGATTGCAATGGTATGCATTTGGTTTGGTGGGACCAGGGATGTGTGGGTTCCTCAGTGCCTGTGTATACAAGAGTAATAAATAATAATCATCATCATCATCAACATCATCTTTATTTATACCCCGCCACTATCTCCCCAATGGGGACTCGGGGCAGCTAACATGAGGCCAAGCCCAAAAATAATACAAAATACTATACAAAACAATAGAGAATTAAACACAACAAAATACATAATGCAACAAATGAAATAAGCAATGAAAAATCTATATCTATAAATCTGTAAGGTGCGTCCAATGGGACAGCAAAACTCAAAACCCCCCCAAAGAAAATTAACCAAAATTCCCATGCACATACCTCAACCCACAAGGTACAAACATATCGAATCAAAATAAAAAGGAACACAACAACACACTAACAAAACGACAAAACAACTGAGCATGTGCAATGGCACCCAGCCGCAAGTTCCCTGGCGTGCGCACATGGCCTGCCAGCCAACGCTCCCTCCATGCAAGCCACGCCCCCATCCTCCGTCGCCCCGCCCCGCGTGATCACTCCAAACCACGGCCCCTCCCCCTGCCCGCCCCACACGATCACGCCACAACACGCCACCTCCAAGGAAGCCCCGCCCACTCCTGGCACGGCCCTTCCCGCCCTGTCAAAACCATCCCTCCTCCCCCTCCTTCATCTTACCCTGCCCATGCGACACCCCCTTTCTTCGCCCCCCCACCCCTTCCCTCCCTCACTCAATCCTTCCCTCCTCCCACCCCCCTCCGGTAAGACACGCCCCCTTCCTTCCCCGCGGCGGGCCCAATCAAGGAAGAGGAAAAACATCGAAGGAAGGAAGGAAACAGAGAAGGAAACATGGAAGCAAAGAGTGAAGGAAAGAAGGAAAGAGGTAGAGAAGGAAGAAAAGAGAGAAAGAGGAAATGAAGAGGGATGGAAAGAAATGGGTAGAGAAAGAAGGAAGGAGATAAGGAAAGAAAAGGAAGGAAAGAGGAGCGAAGGAAGAAGAGAAAGAAAGAGAAAGAGGGGGGAAGGAAGGACAGACAAAAGGAAGAATGGAAACAAAAACCGAAGGAAGGAAGGAAAGAGGCAGAGAAGAGAAAAAGAGAAAGGGAAGGAAAAGAAAAAAGGAAGAAGGAAAGAGGAAGAGAAGGAAGGAAGAAGAGAAGGAAAGAAGAAAAGGGAATGGGGGAAAGAAGGAGAGAAAGAGGGAGGTAAGGTGGGCCACAGCAACGCGTGGCAGGGTACAGCTAGTAACATAATAAAAACAATCCCAGAGTAAACATCAACTGGGCGAGTTGTCCAGCTTGCAAATAAACAAACACTCTTACTCCTGTTTCTTTCCGCTTTGATTACCTGTTTGCACATGCTTGGGAACCTCCTGCTACTAAATGATGTGTCACTCCAACCAAAGCCTTGGAAGATCTGTACAGATTTAGATCCCAATGGATTGTTTTGTCATATAGGTTTTTATCCTAGCCATCTCTAATTTCCCTCCAAGAATTAATTAAGCCTCATAGCATCCATCTCTCTCTCTCTCCTACATACAAACACACCTCTGAAACATTCTGAACATTTTAAGTTAAAACTCAAAGTTGCTCTGCAGACTTATTTTATTGTGACTTAACTCCTAACTGTATTGCTCCTTAAACCAACCTGAACTCTCTCCTTTTCCTTCCTTGTTCCCTTTTCCTCCCAATAGCGCTGGCCACGATTAACTTTCAGAAGTTGGACGCAGCCATCATGGTATTTCTCAACGCTGACCAGGTAAGAAAGACGCATTGCACTGCTGCTCATTTATCCCTACTGCATTCAGTGCTTCCAAATACATAACGTGTGAGGGAAGGAAGCACGCCTCCAGTTGCACAGAAATGTGTTTACTGAACTCAGACATCTATAACAATAAAAGGATTTCTCTCCTCCCTCTAAGGCTGTGAAACCGAGACACTTGAAAACGTTCACAGCTATTTAGAGGACCCTGGGGCATCGCAAGGCTTATTTTTGTTTCTTAAATGGATTAAAAATATTTTAGGCATTTAAAATCTGGAAGTACCTGCAGTGCCATGTTTAGGTACTAGGCTGAAGTACATAACTAAGGCCAAGTGTAGCCGAAGCAAGAGGAACAAAGTCAGAGGCCTGGGAGGTTCATTTTTCTGTAAGACCTTTAGGCAATTAATTTCATGTTCTGCTTTCATCTACAAATAGTTCAAATTGAGAGAGAGGAGTTTCCTGCTGCCTGGTAAGGAGTCGTTGGGAAGAATATGAGCAGAGGAAATGGTTGAATAAGAGAGAAAATGGTTGAATAAGAGAGGAACAAGCTGAAGATCAATCCCGACAAGACAGAGGTCCTCCTGGTCGATCGCAAACCGGATCTGGGTATAGGGTGGCAACCTGTGTTGGACGGGGTTACACTCCCCTTGAAGCCACAGGTCCGCAGTTTGGGAGTCCTCTTGGACTCATCGCTCACACTTGAGGCTCAGGCGTCGGCGGTGACCGGGAGGGCGTTTGCACAATTGAGACTCGTGCACCAACTGCGACCATACCTCGCGAAGGCTGATCTGGCCGGGGTGGTCCATGCCTTGGTCACCTCTAGATTGGACTATTGTAATGCGCTCTACGTGGGGCTGCCCTTGAAAATGGCTCGGAAGTGCCAACTGGTCCAACAGGCAGTAGCCAGGATGTTAACCGGGGCTCATTACAGAGAGAGGTCAACCCTCCTGTTTAAGGAGCTCCACTGGCTGCCGTTTATTTTCCAAGCCCAATTCAAGGTGCAGGTGCTTATCTACAAAGCCCTGAAGGGTTTGGGACCATCCTACCTACGTGATCGCATCTCCGTCTATGAACCCCCATGTTCACTCCGGTCATCTGGAGAGGCTCTGCTCGTGATCCTGCCCGCGTCGCAGGCGCGTTTGGCGGGGACTCGAGACAGGGCCTTTTCTGTGGTGGCCCCCCGACTCTGGAACGCCCTCCCAAAAGACCTCAGACAGGCCCCTTCGTTGGCAGTCTTCAGAAAGAACTTGAAGACCTGGCTGTTCCGATGTGCCTTTCCAGATTAGGAACCCCAATACCAAGTCCTAGAAGCACTTTAGTTGAACTAATGGCCGTTGTACACCGCACTCTGCTCTTAATTTATATATACCCCCTGCCACATCAGCACTTTTAATCCTGTACCCATCACTCTGGCCTGGCCCAGTTTTATATTGTTTCTGATGTCTCTATGTATTGTTATTGTTGTTGTTTATTTTTGCTTAATCTGTTTTAATTTGCTCTATGTATTGTATTGTTCTATTGTGTTTGAGGCCTTGGCCTATGTAAGCCGCATCGAGTCCTGCGGGAGATGCTAGCGGGGTACAAATAAAGTTATAATAATAATAATAATAATAAAGAAACAAATAAAAAATAATAATAATAATAACAAAACTTTATTTATACCCCGCCACCATCTCCCCAAGGGACTCAGAGCGGCTTACATGAGGCCAAGCCCAACAACACATCAATAAAAACAAGAAAGCAATAAACAAAAACAATACAATACAGTTAATATAAATCACATATCTATATAAATAAAAATGTAATGTTAGTTCGTGCTACCGTCAGAACTCAAAAAACCACTGGGGGAATTGACACCAAATTTGGACACAAGACACCTAACAGTCCAATTTATATCCTCCACTCAAAAAATTTGATTTTGTCATTTGGGAATTGTTGTTGCTGGGATTTATAGTTTACCTACATCAAAGAGCATTCTAAACTCCACCAATGATGGAATTGAACCAAACATGGCATACAGGACACCCATGATGAACAGAAAACACTAGAAGAGTTTGGTGGGCATTGACCTCGAGTTTGGGAGTTGTAGTTCACCTACATCCAGAGAGCACTGTGGACTCAAACAATGACGGATCTGGACCAAACTTGGCACGAATATTCCATATGCCCAAATATGAACACAGATGGAGTTTAAGGGAAATAGACCTTGACATTTGGGAGTTGTAGTTGCTGGGATTTATAGTTCACCTACAATCAAAGAGCATTCTGAACTCCACCAATGATGGAATTGAACCAAACATGGCATACAGGACTTCCATGGCCAACAGAACACACTGGAAGGGTTTGGTGGGCATTGACCTTGAGTTTGGGAGTTGTAGTTCACCTACATCCAGAGAGCACTGTGGACTCAAACAATGACGGATCAGGACCCAATTTGACACAAAAATTCCATATGCCTAAATATGAACACAGATGGAGTTTGGAGGAAATAGACCTTGACATTTGGGATTTATAGTTCACTACAATTAAAGAGCATTCTGAAACCCACAAACGACAGAAATGGGGCAAACTTCCCACACAGAACCCCCATGACCAACAGAAAATACTTAAGGCCATCCAGTCCAACTCTCTTCACCAGGGCAAGAAAATGTAATCAGAGCCCTCCTGACAAAGAGCCATCCAGTCATAAATATAGATAGATAGATATGATTCTCTCTCACACACACAGATATAGTATCATAGATTTGAAAGAGACCCTTAAAGAAGGACTATGATATGTTGCATATTCCAGAGTAGGCAAACCAGACACTCTCCACATCAACACTGACAAAGAAACAACAAGAAATACTGTTTACCCACAAGCATAAAGGAATTACATATATTAGAAACCAACACTTTCTCATGACTTTATTTTCCAGATCATCAGACTGGGCCACAGCAACGCGTGGCAGGGGACAGCTAGTAAACAATAAACAACAACACATAAGGATTTAAAAACCTATGGCCGGGCCAAATGTAATAGTTTAAAATTTAAAAAATAAATGCTGGGCATGAACAAGGTAGGATATATCTGGTATAAGGGTTTTAAAGAGGGAGAAGAAGGAGCCCCCAGTGGCGCAGTGGGTTAAACCGCTGAACTGCTGAACTTGCTGACCGAAAGGTTGCCAGTTCAGATCCGGGGAACTGGATGAGCTCCCACTGTTAGCCCCAGTTTCTGCCAACTTAGCAGTTTGAAAACATGCAAATGTGGGTAGATCAATAGGTACTGCTTCGGCAGGACAGCAAGGGCGCTCCATGCAGTCATGCCAGCCACATGACCTTGGAGGCGTCTATGGACAACACTGGCTCTTTGGTTTAGAAATGGAGATGAGCACCGCCCCCCAGAGTCGGACACGACTGGACTTAATGTCAGGGGAAAACCTTTACCTTTACCTAGGGAGAAGAAATAGAAGAGAGGAGAGGAGAAAAAGCAATGTAGTCATGTGGATCTTAGTTGTTTCTCATCCAGGAAAAGCTAGCGCATCAGCTAGTTGCAAATATAAATATTTCAACAGCATTTTTGAGCACAATTGACAAGTCCTTGGTCTCGGAGATGCAATAAACATATTTCCATATGCACTTGGAATGCTCTTTTGCTTATTTGCGATCCTGCCAAGAATGAGTCAGAAAAGCAATTTAAAACTTGGTTGGTTGGGCTCTCGAATATAGGATGCCTTGCTGAGAATTTGTTGAGCCAAAGCAGAACCTTTTGGGTGCACCTTTTCCACTCTGAAAACGGAAGAGTGTTTTTCTTCTTCTTCTCGTACACAGGATGCCATGATTAGCACCTCAGGCAAAGCTCTTTGAATCCTAAAATGGAGCATTTTTTTAACTTTTATTTGTTGTATCAGGAGTGAACCAAGGGTATAGTTATGATATATTTGAGAAAACACAAAGTTTAAAAAACTTGGAATTATATTAAATGTCATTTGACCAGTAGCTGACCATTTGGAGTTCCTCTGGTGTTACTATAAGAAGGTCCTCCATTGTGCATGTGGCAGGGCTCAAGTTGCATTGTAGTAGGTGATCTGTGGTTTGCTCTTCTCCACACTCGCATGTCATGGACTCCACTTTGTGGCCCCATTTCTTAAGGTTGGCTCTGCATCTCGTGGTGCTAGAGCGCAGTCTGTTCAGTGCCTTCCAAGTCACCCAGTCTTCTGTGTGCCCAGGAGGGAATCTCTCATTTGGTATCAGCCATTGATTGAGGTTCTGGGTTTGGGCCTGCCACCTTTGGACTCTTGCTTGCTGAGGTGTTCCTATAAGTATCTCTGTAGATCTTAGAAAACTACCACTTGATTTAAGGTGTTGGTGTGCTCGCTGATATCCAAACAGGGTGGGCCGAAGATGTCACTGCCTTGGTCCTTTCATTATTGGTTGCTATTTCTCGGCAGATGTTAGGTGGTGCAGTAGTGCCTTAGACAGTGTAATTTCTCCAGTGGTGTAGAGCACAGACACGCTGTGATAATGTGGCATGTCTCATTAAGAGCCACATCCACTGTTTTAGATGGTGACTATAATAATAATAATAATCATCATCTTTATTTATACCACGCCACCATCTCCCCGATGGGGACTCAGAGCGGCTTACATGGGGCCAAGCTCGAACAACATATTACATCAAAATATAACCAAAACATAAACAACAAGCAATATCATCAAAATTATATGGAAAGAAAAAAAATACTATAAGTGATTTACGAGTAATTTCCTCTTCCCAAGGAGCCGCAGATTCAGCAGAAGAGGACCTCATTAAGAGCCACATCCACTGTTTTAGCGTGGTGAGATGTGTGCCATAATGGGCATGCATACTCAGCAGCAGAGTAGCAAAGCTCAAGGGCAGATGTCTTCACTGTAATCTGGTTGTGATCCCTAGGTTGTGCCAGTCAGCTTTTGTATGATATTGTTTCTAGCACCCACTTTTTGCTTGATATTCAGGCAGTGCTTCTTGTAGTCAACCTTTGTTGTTGTCGACCTTTGCAGCCCGAAAGACAGTTGCATCTGTCAAGTCGGAAATTTAGGTACCACTTATGGTACCAGCAAGCATACGGGGAATGAGGAAGCACTTCATCAGTGTCACAAATGGACGGTGAAGCGACAGCTCCTCTTGTGGCCAGAATACCCTCATGTTAAATAGCCTCTGAGTGCCTGTCTATATATGTTGTGTGTCTATGGCATTGAATGTTTGCCATGTATATGTACATTGTAATCTGCCCTGAGTCCCCTGCGGGGTGAGAAGGGCGGAATATAAATACTGTAAATAATAATAAAATAATAGGTCGGAGAACAGTCCAGGGTATCTCCCAGGTATTTGGGTGAGCATTTCTGTATGTGAGATCTAATTTCCTCAACTTTGTACTGCTTCTCCAGCAGTCTGTCACATTTTATGTAGTTTTAAAAAACCATATATGTGCCTGAAAGCTTCCCAGAATAGCATAAGCAAAATCAATAGGACAGGTGAACCCCTGAATGTTGTCTTATATCGTAAAAGAGATGATACAAACAGGAAAATATGGAAGAAGGAAGAAAGCGCATGCACCAAGTCAACGAGAATGAAAGCCGTTTGAAGAATGGAGGTTGCCACCGTGAAGTTGGTCTTTCAGTGCAGCTGGTGAAAACGAAAGGTTTCTCATAAGCACTTGGAGATACGTCTTCACAGATACTCACTTAACCCCTGCAGTTCCCCTTCTCCAACTGAAAACAGGAGGCGAAGGACTGCAACAGATGTTTTAAAGGAACGCCAGGACCTTGGATATCTCCTGGTAGACATTTTGCTGGAATATTTGGTGTTCCTGATGTGTAGAAGAAGAAAAAAAGATTTTTCTCTTCAATTATCGGACTTGTTACTTTGAACGTTGCATTTGGTATAGAGCTAGCCTGTCTCTTTTGTTCTGATCTGAAAAGGGTTAAGAACCACTTCTCTGAAAAGCACAGCAGTCCCAAAGTAGGAAAATAAGCAAATCTAAGGGATAGTTGCTGCCCTTCTCCTCCTTCATAGTTTTTTGCAAAGTAAGGAGAGGACCCGCACAGCAGCAAGGTCTCAGTTGGAGAATAATACACCTGGCCTCTTCACAGTGGGTTGACTTTCCCTCCAGCAAGATGTGAGCAAATCATTCCCCTTGCCTGAGCTGGAACTGCAGAGTGGAGTCTGCATTCATCTCTCTATTATAGTGCTTTGAATGGGCTGGTAATTTCTTTTCTAATACTGATCAATTGATTTAGCAATTACAGGGAACAAGATTTGGCAGCAGGGGGTAGGGCAATGCGGTCTCCATTTCCGTTCTTTCCCACTGGGAACAGGAAGCAGACTGGGGAAAAACTAAGTAGATAGAGGCACTGAGGAAGAAGGAGCCTCCCGGTGACACAGTGGGTTAAACCCTTGTGCTGGCAGGATTGCTCAGTGGTTCGAATCTGGGGAGAGAGGATTGAGCTCCCTTTGTCAGCTCCAGCTCCCCATGCGGGGACATGGGAGAAGCGTCCCACAAGGATGGTAAAACATCAAAAACATCTGGGCGTTCCCTGGGCAATGTCCTTGCAGACGGACAATTCTTCCACACCAGAAACAATTTGCCGTTTCTCAAGTTGCTCTTGATATGGAGAAAAATAAAACTGAGGGAGACAAGCTCAAATAATAATAATAATAATAATAATAATAATAATAATAATAATAATGGAAAATCGAAACTGAAATCCAGTCTCTGACTAACACTGTCCGAATCTTTAGCACAGATATCAACATGAAGTTTGGTTTGGACAAATGTTCGACAGTGGCACTGAAGAAGGGAAAAATCATTGAAAGTGAGGGAATAAATATGCCCAATGGCCAAGCGATCAAGTGTCACTAGCCAGAGGCCTATAAATATCTGGACATACTACTACTACTACTACTACTAATAATAATAATAATAATAATAGTCTCTAGCCAGAGGCCTATAAATATCTGGACATACTACTACTACTACTACTACTAATAATAATAATAATAAGTGTCATTAGCCAGAGGCCTATAAATACCTGGACATACTACAGCTGGACAACATCAACATGAACATGTGAAAACTGTGGTCAGCAAACAATATATTCAAAGGGTCAGAAAAATTCTCAAAAGCAAGCTCAATGGAGGCAATACCATCAAGACCATAAACACCTGGGCCATACCTGTCATAAGATATACTGCTGGCATCATGAACTGGACAATTTGGACAGAAAACCAAGAAAACTCATGACCATTCATAATTCACTACATCCTCGCAATGATGTTACCGGCTCTATCTGCCTAGAAAGTCTGGTGGCAGAGGACTTTACAAGTAAAACAAGCAGTTGAAGAAGAAAAACACGCCCTGGTAGAATATGTCAAGGAAAGCCAAGAACCTGCTTTAATTGAAGTCAATAATTGGAAACTTCTCAAAGCACAGCAAACAAAGAGTCAGTACAAGAAAACTGCACTCCAAACCAGAGCAGACAGCTGGCGCCACAAAGCATTGCATGGGCAGTTCCTTGAAAAGATTGAAGGAAAAATTGATAAGGAGGAGACCTGGTGATGGCTCATGAATGGAACACTGAAGAAGGAGACAGAAGGCCTGATTCTTGCAGCCCAGGAGCAAGCCATCAGAACTAATGCAATTAAGGCCAGGATCGAAAAATCAGCGGATGACCCAAAATGCAGACTGTGCAAGGAAGCTGATGAAACCATTGATCATATCCTCAGCTGTTGCAAGAAAATCGCACAGATGGACTACAAACAAAGACACAACTCTGTGGCCCAGATGATTCATTGGAACTTATGTCACAAGGACCACCTGCCAGCAGTAAAGAATTGGTGGGATCATAAACCCGCAAAGTCATGGAAAATGAACATGCAAAAATACTGTGGGATTTCGAATCCAGACTGACAAAGTTTTGGAACACAATATACCAGACATCACGATTGTGGAAAAGAAAAAAGTCTGAATTATTGATGTCGCCATTCCAGGTGACAGTCGCATTGAGGAAAAACAACAGGAAAAACTCAGCCGCTATCAAGACCTCAAAATTGAACTGCAAAGGCTCTGGCATAAACCAGTACAGGTGGTCCCAGTGATAATTGGCGCACTGGGCGCCGTGCCAAAAGATCTCAGCCGGCATTTGGAAACAATAAACATCGACAAAATCACGATCTGTCAACTACAAAAGGCCACCTGACTTGGATCTGCACGTATCATCCGAAAATACATCACACAATCCTAGACGTTTAGGAATTGTTCGACTTGTGATTTTGTGATACGAAATCCAGCATATAGATCTCGTTTGCTGTGACATACTGTGTTTTTATGTCAGTAAAGTAACAACAACAGCAACAGCAACAACTTTATTTCTACCCCACCAACCCATCTTCCTGAAGGGTCTCAGGGCGGCTAACACGGGGCCAGGCCCGGGCAGTTACAACAAGGCAAAATAAAATTCATACTAAACAGACAATGACATCAAATAAAAATGCTAAACAATAACATGGTAATGCAACAAAATAAAGACAATAGCATAATAAAACAAAATGCAAAACAGTACAAGAATTAAACAAGGATGAGCTGGACCAAATGCAAAAAATAAAAATTGTAAAACGCATGGGTGAGGTAGATAGATAAAGTGCTGCGTCTAGTGAGTGACTTGGGGGGATAAACCCCCGACTGAACAAAGCCAGCATCTGCATACATGTATTTGCTCTCCCAGCAGCATCTGGTTGGCCGTTCACTATCATCAGATATCTCAGGCCAATAGGATTGTAGGCAATATGAGGATAGGGTTCAAATATGCTTGTGTATTTCGTATGGCCTTTTTGCCCCAAACCACCACTAGAATGTGGCCCTCCCCAATCCTGTGTTTCTAGATCCTATTGATTAAAAGTCTTCCAGGATCAGTCTTCCGGTGTGGCACATTTCTCTCTTTCACCCTCCATTCATGCCTCTTCAAATTCTGCAGCACTGCTGGTCACAGCTGACCTCCAGCTGGAGTGCTCAAGAGCCAGGGCTTCCCAGTTTTCAGTGTCTATGCCAGAGTTTTTAAGGTTGGCTTTGAGCCCGTCTTTAAATCTTTTTTCCTGTCCACCAACATTCCGTTTTCCGTTCTTGAGTTCAGAGTAGAGCAGCTGCTTTGGGAAACGGTGGTCGGGCATCTGGACAGCGTGGCCGGTCCAGCGGAGCTGATGGCGAAGGACCATTGCTTCAGTGCTGGTGGTCTTTGCTTCTTCCACCACGCTGACGTTTGTCCGCCTGTCTTCCCAAGACAATTGCAGGATTTTCCAGAGGCAGCGCTGATGGAATCGTTTCAGGAGTTGCATGTGACGTCTGTAGACAGATGGTTGGATAGTCTAAGTCCGTTCCATAAGCGGTTGCACATCATCTCACCTATATGTTCAAACTAGAGGCAAATACTTGCTGAATTTTAACCCACTCAGTTCTTATATTTTGTCCCCACGCAGCACAAAATGCCAAAGATGGTGATGGAATACTGGACTGGATGGTTTGATTCCTGGGGAGAACTTCATCACGTCTTTGACGCAGATGGTGAGTTGCGACCCACTTTTGCTCACTGATGTTGGCACCTCCTAATACAGGGATAGGCAGCATTTTGGGCTGCAGCTCCCAGCATCCCTAATCATTGGCTCTGCTGGGATAGGGCTGGATGAGAGTTGCAGTATGACAACACTTGTCCCGGTCTTATTTAACTTCATACTGTTCCCCTCATCAGTTGTCCTTCTCTGTTGGTTCCTGTTTTCTTTCCCAGCTCCAGAACAGCAATAGAGATGGCCTCAGAGGGTATGTCATATATATGTTGAACAGCGATATATTTTAATCTTTGCTAGCACCAAGGCAGGGTTTTATAGATTTTCCTCTTATTGAAACTTCACCCTTCCTCGATAAAGTGGGTGGCTGTAAGCAATCTATAGTAGTACCTCTGTGATACTACTATATCACAATAGTAATATAGTAGGCACCAAATCTGGTAATAATTTTAGTTACTAATGTATCAGGGAAGAAGGGGACAGATTTCAATATATTTTAAGCGTTGTGTGTTTTCCGAGCTGTATGGCCATGTTCCAGAAGCATTCTCTCCTGACGTTTTGCCTGCATCACAACCTCTGAGGATGCCTGCCATAGATGCAGGCGAAACATCAGGAGAGAATGTTTCTGCATCATGGCCATACAGCCCGGAAAACACACAACAACCCAGTGATTCCGGCCATTAAAGCCTTTGACAATATATTTTAAGGGTTTTTCATAATCTTCGGCATTTAACAGTAGGTTTTCAATTCTGTAAGTTTTAAAATCTGTACTGCTTGTTATGATTTCAACCACATAACACAAGATTACCTGCTCCCTTGAATCTCTTGTACAGAAAATACAGGGGAAAGTTCTCCATGGATTTATTTATTTATTTAAAGTATTTATATTCCACCCTTCTCACCCCGCAGGGGACTCAGGGCAGATTACAATGCACATATACATGGCAAACATTCAATGCCATTAGACATACAACATATATAGACAGACACATAGGCAATTTAACATTCCAGCTTTCCGGCTTCATGAGGGTATGCTTGATTCTGGCCACAGGGGGAGCTGCCGCTTCACCGTACACTTGTGACACTGAGTCCTTAATGGAGTACTTCCTCATTCTTACGCACACTGCTGGAAGGTTTTATGTTGTCATAAATTAGTTAAATTAGCCTCCCCGCAAAAAGCTGTACCTAAACTTTCTACTTGACAGATGCATCTGTCTTTCGGTCTGCATAGGTCAACAGCAAGCTACCATATTAATGGTTGGAGCTCACTCAAGCGTGGGCTGGCTTCGAACTCATGACCTCTCAGTCAGTAGTGATTTAATGCAGCTGGCTACTAACTAGTTGTGCCAGTCTTTTCAGCAATACTCATCTGAGCAATATTCTTTCGGTCTGTATAGGTCAACAGCAAGCTACACTATTAATGGTCAGAGCTCACTCCGGCGTGGGCTGGCTTTGAACTCATGACCTCTCAGTCAGTAGTGATTTAATGCAGCTGGCTACTAACTAGTTGTGCCAGTCTTTTCAGCAATACTCATTTGAGCAATATTCTTTCGGTCTGCATAGGTCAACAGCAAGCTAGACTATTAATGGTCAGAGCTCACTCTGGTGTGGGCTGGCTTTGAACTCATGACCTCTCAATCAGTAGTGATTTAATGCAGCTGGCTACTAACTAGTTGCACCAGTCTTTTCAGCAATACTCATCTGAGCAATATTCTAAAATTCTTTACTTCCCTTAACAGTAATGGTACAAACAGTGGCAAAAGTCATCAAGATGGGAGCATCCATCAACCTCTACATGTTCCACGGGGGCACAAACTTCGGCTTTCTGAATGGCGCCCAGCATTTCAATGAATACAAGGCAACCATCACCAGCTATGGTAAGGTTGTATTGCTTGCTATGTGCTTTTGGGTTGCTTCCAACTTATGTGGATGATACTGTGGGGTAAATTTGAAGAGTTACGTCTGTGCAAGTGTAAATCAGTTTCATATATGCACCTTTTCTTTTTTGCCTCCTTTTTCATTTATTGTTCCTTTCCATTTGGTAAAATGACCTTTTGAACTGCATTTTTGAATCTAAACAGAAATTCGTGGGCTGAAAAACTACGTTACTAGCCACAATATAAAAAACTCTAGGAGGTTCATGCAGTCCTTTATTGTCCACTCCAGCTTCTTTCTGTGCCAGCCTTTCTGCACAACTTGCTACCTTTTGCTTCAAAGTGTGGTCCAGCTAAGGGTATGCCAAGCACCACTGAACTGCAGTGGAACTCTCTACCCTGAAGTGTGGTGGAGGCTCCTTCTTTGGAGGCTTTTAAACAGAGGCTGGATGGCCATCTGTTGGGGGTGCTTTGAATGTGATTGTCCTGCTTCTTGGCAGGGGGTTGGACTGGATGGCTGATGAGGTCTTTTCCAACTCTTTGATTCTATGATTCTCCAGAAAGGTAAAAAGTTTTTTTTAAAAGTCCATGCAGCTACATTTTGCCTAGAAAGAGGCAAAATGCTTCCTCACTGGAAGGAAGAAAGGCAAAAGGAGAGCAATGGTGGAAATCACGTTGTTAACTCAGGGCAATAAAAAACTTAAAGGGGAAGTTCCCTCATAGAATTCCATTCCTGTATCATCAAAGGAGGAAGGAGACAGTGACAAAAAGGAGGGGTAATGACAAAGCCCTTTTGGGAAACATGCATGGTATCTCTAGCTACTCATTGAGGTCTAGAAACTTGAGGACACAAGAGACTTGTGCAGTCCAGGGATGAAACCCAACACAATGCCTCCTTCTCCTTGTTTATCCAGGACTCCTTTTCTCACCATTTTGACTTATTTGCATCCTTCTTTTTCAGACTATGATGCCATCCTGACCGAGTCTGGGGACTACACCCCCAAGTTCTTCAAGCTGCGACAGTTTTTCACAGACATATTGGGTAATTACACGTATGCTGGAGAAGCCTCCCTGCCTTCTTTAAATGCTGGTTGGTGCCACTTGAGCAGAGCTTGGAAATGAGCTTCCCAAGGGTGTGCCAGGCATCCGCTGTTCTCCAAGTAGCTACATCCTGTGGATGAGCTGGGAACGTTTTTCTAAGGCGTGAGGGAGGGGAGAAGAGAAGATAGGACGTCTTGTGATGGAAATGGGCCTTCAGCTCACTTCACAGCAGTAGGGAAGGTGTGTGAACTTAATAACTTCCACCTCTCACTGCTGGGGAATATTCCATGCCAGGAAACTTAAAACAAATGCAAATTAGAAAGGGTGGAATTCTTTGCGTATTTTTTCCTCTTTTTGACTTTTTTTTCCCAGAGCAAACTTGACGCTCTCTTTTCCGCCACCAATCCATGTCCGCAAGCGGTCCTTTTCTCTGCTTTCTTTGAAGAAGTTGGTTTAAGGCAAAACTGTGCCTCAAAGAAAGATTGCTGAACTGCGCGGAGAGTGTCAAGCTGAAACCGCTTATGTCTTTTTATGTTCCTTTTTGTGTTCTGAATTTCTGAAAAACCCTTCCTTTCTTCCCCCTTTTATTTCATGTATATGTCCCCCTTTTATGCATCTTTTTGTTCCTTTTGCCTCTTCTTAAGTCTGTTTTCCTTCTTTTAAAACCTTACTGTTTCCTGCATAATTTTGCCCTATCTGTCCTTTTGCTTTATTTGGTTGCTGTGATCCAAATGTCCTCTACCAGTGATGGCAAAAGTACAGGTTCTTTATCTGATTTGAGGGGAGTGTGCCTGCCACAAAACAAGAGACTCTGAAATCCTATGAAGTAGGCCCTGCTGAATGGTGCAAAAGCGCAGAAGTGCGAGCAAGACAGACTGAGGACCAGCAAATGGGCAATGAGAAGTGTCAATAGACCAGGAAACAGTGGGTGCTTGTCAACACTCAGGATTCAGAAATGTTGTTAGTGTCACACCTCGGGATAGATTCACCTTGCTCAGAACACCACACACACCAAGGCTGTAGGTTTTGTAGTTTATTAAAGAAAAGGTAAAGTCTATCCTCCAGGAAATAAAGCCCGACTGCTCACTGGAGGGAAGGATACTAGAGACAAAGTTGAAGTACTTTGGCCACATCATGAGGAGACAGCAAAGCCTAGAGAAGACAATTATGCTGGGGAAAGTGGAAGGCAAAAGGAAGAGGGGCCGACCAAGGGCAAGATGGATGGATGGCATCCTTGAAGTGACTGGACTGACCTTGAAGGAGCTGGGGGTGGTGACGACCGACAGGGAGCTCTGGCGTGGGCTGGTCCATGAGGTCACGAAGAGTCGCAGACGACTGAACGAATGAACAACAACAACAACAAAGTCTTAAACACAAAAGTGAAGTTGCAAAAGTTCAACAGTCAAACAGAGTCTTAAATGCAAAGGCAGAGTTTCCAAAGTCCAAAGACAATTAACATGAAGCATATTCCATACGCATTGATCAAACAAGATTCCATGGCTGCATGACAGAATCCCAAGAAGCCAAGATCCACATCAAAGTCCCAAGAAGCCAAAAGCATTGCCCAAAAGCCGAGACAATCCAGAGAAGTTATCAGGGTGTTCGCTGAAGTTGCACTGACAAAAGGTTGCTTTCAATCAGTTCACTAATAATAATAATAAACCTTTATTTATACCCCGCTAACATCTCCCGAAGGACTCGGTGTGGCTTACAAGAGGCCAAGGCCCAATACATCAGTAAAACAACAGCATAAATACAACAATAAATAAACTCATAAAACAAATCAATAAACATTAAAACAATAGCAATAAACATTAGACAATAACACCACGACACATTTAAAAACTAAGGCCGGGCCAAATGTAATGATGAAAAATTTTAAAAATGCTGGACATGACCAGGTGAAGTGGATAGGTTTTTGGAGAAATATACTTTCCCAGCATGAAAGCATTCCTTTGACCTCTAACCTCTCTCTTGTTTGCAAGCCTTGTACTACAGCAAACCCTGAATTGCAAGCGATCCTCCCTATCTAAATCTGCAGAGCCTTCAAGGTCAAATAACTCATTATCCTGGAGCTGGGAATCAGCATCCTGAGAATCGGCAGGCAGAGAGCTCACAGGCTGGCTCGCCCTCACAGGCTGGCTTGCCTCCTCCACCTAGACCTGTGAAGTTTCACTAAGATCAGAAACATCTTCTAAGACAACATCCCTTCCCATGGGAAACTGGAACTCCTTGTCTTCAGGAATCTGAAACCCATCATCCTCTTCCTGCTCTTCCTGAGGCTCCTGCTGAGCCACAACAGTTAGCTGGTTCAGAATATGTTGTATTGTCCTGTGCCTTCAATTTTATTTCTGACTAGCTGTATCCAGCCACGTGTTGCTGTGGCCTAGTCTTAGTAATACAGTGTTCCCTCACTTATCGTGGGTGTTACATTCCAGGACCATCCGCAAAGTAGGGACGTGTTGCACTCCAGGACAGGAAAAGCCCTCTGACTTTAAACACCACACCGTTGAGTAGGAAAACAATCCTTTTATTGAAGATTATTATTATTATTATTATTATTATTATTATTATTATTATCATCATCATCTTTATTTATACCCCGCTAACATTTCCCGAAGGACCCGATGAGGCCCAGCTTTCCAGAGATTAGAAAAGATACATGACTGTACTATCACAGAATGTTAAAGGCCAAGGCCCTCAATAAAACAACAGCATAACAAATACAACAATAAAACTCATAAAGCAAAACAATAAACATTCAAGCAATAACAGTAAAACATTGAAACAATAACATCATGACACATTTAAAACTAAAGCAGTAAAGTAAAAAGCACTTTAAAGAAATAGGTAAATTCAATTAGGTGAGAAGATATCATATCTTACACTTTTGAAGCCATTCAACTAATAGAGCACTTGTACTGAATGCATCTTTCTGTTCTTTCTTTAAAGGGGGCCCTTTGCCTGAGCCTCCAGTAATTTCAAGTAAAGCGTCCTACGGGGCAATCCTGATGCAGCAATACGTCTCTCTTTGGGAGGTGCTGCCCTCTCTGGTCAAGGTTGGTACCATTCTGCTTCAAAGAAGTTGACTTTCAGTTTTTGGTTGTGATCCCAAACTACTGTCATTCAATGTATTGTCGAAGGCTTTCATGGCTGGAATCACTAGGTTCTTGTGGGTTTTTTCGGGCTATATGGCCTTGTTCTAGAGGCATTTCTCCTGACGTTTCGCCTGCATCTATGGCAAGCATCCTCAGAGGTAGTGAGGTCTGTTGGAAATAGGAAAATGGGTTTATATATCTGTGGAATGACTGGGGTGGGGCACAGAGCTCTTCTCTGCTGAAGCTAGGTGTGAATGTTTCAGCTGACCACCTTAGTAGCCAGCTGTTTTGCTGTTGTAATTTTAGAGTAATTACAGCAAAACAGCAGAGAGGAAACAACCAGGCACATCTTAACACCTCTCAACAAAACATTTTCCCAGGCTCAGCCAGGCCTTCAAATGCTAATGAAGGTGGTCAGCTGAAACATTCACACCTAGCTTCAGCAAGAGAGCTCTTTGCCCCACCCCAGTCATTCCACAGATATATAAACCCATTTTCCTATTTCCAACAGACCTCACCACCTCTGAGGATGCTTGCCATAGATGCAGGCGAAACGTCAGGAAAAATGCCTCTAGAACATGGCTATATAGCCCGAAAAAACCCACAAGAACCTACTATCATTCAATCTCAGAATTCATTTCTAATGGAGATGTCTTGCCATTAAGGCTGGTGTTATTCTGCAAACTCTATGAAAAATATCTCTTTCTAGCAGTTGTAACATAAAGTAACACCTTGCATGCAGGTATAAGGTACGCATGTGCCATTTGCATGCGAGTCACTGTCTGATGTTAACACTGTAGCATTCATGCCTGAACCCATCAGAGTTGGAATGGACTTATCCCTTTCTGAACTCGCTGGTATGTATAAGTAAATCCCTTTAGGATTCCCTTGTAAGTCTGTGATTTCTCTTTTGCAGCCCGTCAGGTCAGAAACCCCGGTTAACATGGAGAACCTCCCGGTGAACGACGGTAATGGACAGGCCTTTGGGTATACGCTCTATGAGACTATCTTACCTCAAGGAGGAGCATTACATACTCATGACCACATCCGGGACAGAGCCCAGGTGAAGAACGTAGCAGATTTTGGGTCAAACAACTTGTCTTGGGGGTCAAATGAGGTGGCGGTGGAGACTTGTCTGTCACAATATGAGTCTTGTTACATTGAGTCTTTTATAGGAATATTTTGCTGATGTAGTCCCAAAGTTGTAAATTAATGATAGACGTCTTCCATCCTGGCTCCATCTCAGTTTACTAGCCAGATGTTGACTCTTCTTGATTGGTGCTGACATACACAAGGCTTGTGTTGACTTCCTTCTTAACATTATAAACATTGATCTTATCACTGTCCAGTTCTTATCACAGTTTACTTTTCAGTTCTTATTAGCAACTTTTAATTATAGTCCAGCCAATGGAGGACCTCCTTGTGGCAACACCAGAGGCACTCCAAGTGGCCAGATACTGGTCAAAGGACATTTAATCAACTACTAAGCTTGCAAACTTTGTGTTTTGTCTGTCTGTTTGTTTTGTTAAAAATGTAATACAAATGTCTGGTTGCTCCTGACACGATAAATAAATAAATAAATTATAGTCCAGCAAGCAGGTAGTTAGTCATTTCCGGTCTTAATATTTTACTGATGTCTCCAAAATTATTAGCTCCATCCATACATCCTTCCATTCTTCTATTCCTTCCCACACATATATTAAATTCACATTTATCAAATCTGTAATGATATTTTCATGATATATTGGCCTGTTCCTGGGGTTATTTGGGATGCTGATACAGAAAATTGCATTAGATATACCAATCTGTTCTAGATTATTAAATACTAGCCATCCCCTGCCACTCATTGCTGTGGCCCAGTCTGGTAATCTGGAAAAGTAATGAGAAAGTGTTGGCTTCTGTGGGTAAACAGTATTTCTTGCTGTTTCATTGCCAGTGTTGATGTGGAGATTGTCTGGTTTGCCTACTCTGGAACATGCAACATATCATTGTCTTTCTTTAGGGGTCCCTTTCAAATCTATGATACTATATCTCTGTATGTGTGAATCATATCTATCTATCTATCTATCTATCTATCTATCTATCTATCTATATCTATATCTATGGCTGGATGGCTCTTGTTCAGGAGGGCTTTGATTATGTTTTCGTACCTTGGCGAAGGGTGTTGGACTGGATGGCATTAAGTATTTTCTGTTGGTCATGGGGGTTCTGTGTGAGAAGTTGAGATGCTCTTTTATTGTAGGTGAACTATAAATCCCAGTAACTCTAACTCCCAAATGTCAAGGTCTATTTCCCACAAATTCCATCTGCGTTCATATTTGAGCATATGGAATATTTGTGCCAAGTTTGGTCCAGATCCACCTTTGTTTGAATCCACAATGCCCTCTGGATGTAGGTGAACTACAACTCCAAAACTCAAGGTCAACCAATTCCTTGTAGTATTATCTGTTGGTCATGGGCGTTCTGTATCCCAAGATTGACTCAATTCCATCATCGTTGGAGTTCAGAATGCTCTTTGATTATAGACGAGCTATAAATCCCAGCAACTACAACTCCCAAATGACAATAGTGATGTATTGTCGAAGGCTTTCATGGCCGGAATCACTGGGTTGTTGTAGGTTTTCCAGGCTAAATGGCCATGTTCTAGAGGCATTTTCTCCTGACGTTTCGCCTGCATCTATGGCAAGCATCCTCAGAGGTATTGAGGTCTGTTGGAAGTAGGAAAATGGGTTTATATATCTGTAGAAAGACCAGGGTGTGGACTTTTGGACTTTTGTCTGCTGGAGCTAGGTGTGAATGTTTCAACTGACCACCTTGATTAGCATTTAATGGCTTGGAAGTGCCTGGGGGAATCTTTCTTTGAGAGGTGATTTGATGTACCAGATTGTTTACTCTCTGTTGTTTTGCTGTTGTAATTTTTGAGTTTTTTAATACTGGTAGCCAGATTACAATAGTGATGGTCACTCCTTGGGTTAGTAGGTGTCTTGTGTCCAGGTGGTTTTTGAGTTATGTTAATCCCACAAACAAACATTACATTTTTATTTATATAGATGGTTTTCTGTGGGCGAACATCTACTGGATGGCATATGTTCTGTATCAGAAGCTAGAGCTGATGTGGTCTATCCAATGTAATTTTCTGAATCAGCATCTCAAATAACCAAACTGAACCTAAAGTTGACCAAAAACTGATTTGCAACCCTTTTGGTACTAATGTTGGACAGTGGTCCCTGGTCAAAGTGGTCGCTGGCGAAGTAGTCCCTGGTCAAAAAATTTGGCAACCATTGATTTAAATGGTGGTGGAGAGGTGTTGCCATCTCAACATAGCTGTTGATGCCTGCTAATCTGGGATTCCTTATTACAGTTTTTCTCCCTTCTTTGTCTGTTTAAGTGCTTTTCAAACGATGATAAATAATAAGCTTACAGACAATGCTTGGAGGAGAATAATCTCTCTTCCTGCCAGGTAGCCCTCCTCCCGCCTCACCATCACGGCCCCTAAATCCTCCTCTAATCCTCCACCTTTTTGTGACTGACAAATGAGACTGGCTGTTTCTTTCCCACAGATGTTTCTTAATAAGCGGTATTTTGGCCTCCTTGATTACAGCACACAAGAACTGACAATCCCTGACGGGCAGGTAAGTAGTCAGAAGAGGCAGCGTGAATTACAGGTGGAGATGCTCAACATCCCTTTTGCCCCGGCATTTCTCAGTGTCAGTAAATCTCTGTTGCACTGGGTCAGTTCAGACAATAATGGCTCTGGATCTCTGCCAGGAGGCAAAGCTGGAGTTAGATGTGGCATCATCCTAATCTTGTCTGTTGGAAGGAAGACCATTTGAATTCAGTGGAATGTTGTCACTGCCTTTAGGGTTACAGTCTTAAAACTCAGTCCTTCATTGCTTAACACCTCCAAATCCCTAATTATAATTTTGCCCTAGAGACAATGTAGCTAAATGTTTTGGTGTTTAAACCCATTGAAGGGTTGTTGTAGGTTTTTCGGGCTGTATGGCCATGTTCTAGAACAGTGTTTCTCAACCTGGGGGTCAGGACCCCTGTGGGGGTCGCAAGGGGGTGCAAAGGGGTCGCCAAAGACCATCAGAAAACATAGTATTTTCTGTTGGTCATGGGGGTTCTGTGTGGGAAGTTTGGTCCAATTCTATCGTTGGCGGGGTTCAGAATGTTATTTCATTGTGGGTGAACTAGAAATCCCTCTCAAATGTTAAGGTCTATTTTCTTCAAACTCCTCCAGTGTTCACATTTTGGCATATTGAGTATTTGTACCAAGTTTGGTCCAGATCCATCATTGTTTGGGTCCACAGTGCTCTCTGAATGTAGGTGAACTACAATTCCAAAATTCAAGGTCAATGTCCACCACATCCTCCCAGTATTTTCTCTTGGTCATGGGAGATCTGTGTGCCAAGTTTGGTTCAATTTCATCATTGGTGGTGTTCAGAATTCTCTTTGATTGTAGGTGAACTATAAATCCCAGCAACTACAGCTCCCAAATGACAAAATCAATCCCCTCCCAACCCCACCAGTATTCAAATTTGGGCATATTGGGTATTTAGGATTTGAAAATACATCCTGCATATAAGATATCTAGCAAACCCTTCCAGTATTTTCTGTTGGTCATGGGAGTTTTGTGTGCCAAGTTTGGTTCAGTTCCATCATTGATGGAACTCAGAGTGCTCATTGATGGTAGGTGAACTATAAATCCCAGCAACTACACCAAATCAGAAAATCAATCCCCTCCCCCAACCCCACCAGTATTCAAATTTGTGAATATTGGGTATTTGTGCCAAATTTGGTCTAGTGAATGAAAATACATCTGCATATCAGATATTTACATTATGATTCATAACAGGACCAAAATTACAGTTATGAAGTAGCAATGAAAATGTTATGGTTGGGGGTCACCACAACATGAGGAACTGTACTAAGGGGTCGCAGCATTAGGAAGGTTGAGAAACACTGTTCTAGAAGCATTCTCTCCTGATGTTTCACCTTCATCTATGACAGGATTCCTCATAGGTTGTGAGGTCTGTTGGAAACCAGGCAAATGAGATTTATGTATCTGTGAAATGTCCAGGGTGGGAGAAAGAACTCTTGTCTGTTTGAGGCAAGTGTGAATGATGCAATTGGCCACTTTGATTAGCACTGAATGGCCTAGCAGTTTCAAGGTCTGGCTTGTTCCATGTAGAAATTTGCTATGACTGGGCTGAGAGGACTCCCTATAGCTGTTCATAGAATGTATTGTCCCACTGGAAGTAGCTCGTGGATAGACAATGGTGAAACAGGGCTATGATGTCTTCTGGTTGATTAGCGCGATGGTGTCCACTACTGGGACCTTGGTAAATAGAGGCATCATGTCAAAGCTCATTGGTTTGTTGTTGGAGTTGAGCTTGAGGTTGCTGATTTTTTCCATGAAGTGGGCTGAGCGAAGGAAGATAGACACTTTTGAACTGTGGTGTTGGAGGAAAGTTCTGAGAGTGCCTTTGGCTGCCAGAAGTTCCAACCAGCCCATACTTCAAGAAATAAAGCCCAACTGCTCATTGGAGGGAAGGATATTAGAGGCAAAGATGAAGTACTTTGGCCACATCATGAGAAGAAAGGAAAGCTTAGAGAAGACAATGATGCTGGGGAAAATGGAAGGAAAAAGGAAGAGGGGCTGACCAAGGGCAAGATGGATGGATGGTTGGTATCCTTGAAGTGACTGGTTTGACCTTGAAGGAGTTTGGGATGGTGACAGCTGACAGGGAGCTCTGGAGTGGACTGGTCCATGAGGTCACGAAGAATCGGAGGCGACTGAACAAATAAACAACATATATATCCACCAGAAGTTTACCTAGATTCACACTGAAGGGCCTAGAGATTCTACAATTGTTCTCTCTTGGTATCTCAAGATCTTTCAGTGTGACTATACAGGGACCTTTGCCAGAAGTTGACCAGAGTTACACTGAAGAAGCTAGAGATTCCTAGAGGAACATCTCTAGGTTCTTCAGTGAGATTTTATGGACAATGTCTTGTGGAAGTTGACCATAGAAGTTGACCAGAGTCATTCTTGAGGATCCTGAGATTCATGGAGAGATGTTCTTCCAGATTAAAAAGCAGTATTACCTGTATCCCTAACCCTAGCAAAGGAAGAGGGGCCGACCAAGGTTAAGATGGATGGATGGTATCCTTGAAGTGAGTGGCTTGACTCTGAAGGAGCTGGGGGTGGTGACTGCTGACAGGGAGCTCTGGCGTGGGCTGGTCCATGAGGTCACAAAGAGTCAGAAGCGGCTGAACGAATAAACAACAACAACAAAGGCTGGATCCTTGATGTAGTGTGTAGTGAGTGCAAGAAACAACCAGAGATAGCTAATCACTAGGCATGTGCAATCCATTGTTCTAAATGGTTCTAAAGTACTTACAAAACTAAATTTCTGGTTGTGAAAACTAAGGGGCGCTAAAATTCTGGTGGTGAAAATTTCAGAACTCTAACAAAACTTACAAAATTTCATTATTATTTCATTATTGGTGATTTTTATGACAGAACCTATTAGGAACTGCCATTTATAATGAAATTTTGAAAGTTGTGTTAGAGTTCTGAAAGTTTCACCACCAGAACTTTAGCAACACTGTAGAAGAAAAGCACCAGCGTCCCCTAGTTTTCACCACCAGAACTTTAGTTTTGTAAGTACTTTAGAATAATTTAGAACCATGGATTGCACATGCCTACTAATCACCTCTCAACAAAGGATTCCTCCAGGCAGTAAGAAGCCTGGGGAATCAAGTACAGCAAGGTAGTTCTGGAACATGGCCATACAGCCCAAAAAACTTACAACAACCCAGTGATTCCGGCCATGAAAGCCTTTGACAATACATTGAACACGGCATATGTACATTAGCGTGAAGACAGGTGTAACATTTTCAGTACAGCAAGGTAGTTCTGGAAATACACTGAGATCAATCCAGTGTTACAGTCTGTCTTCACTCTAATCTGCAGATCAGCCATCTGCTGCTGCCCCTAATCTAGAGTAATTGGATGACTTCTCGCATTTCATATATTTATTTGTGTCTTGGTATCTCTGATTTTTTTTGGCTCCAATTTGACTTGTCCTCTATTGTGACTTACAGGGATACCGGCAACTCCAGCTCCTGGTCGAGAACTGTGGGCGAGTCAATTACGGAGAGCATCTCAACGACCAGCGGAAAGGCAAGTTCATACCAAGGAGTCACATTTGACAGCAGTGTTTCAATAAAGCATTTCCCTTAGTTAATAAGAGAAGCCTTCTTCTACTCGGTGACAAAAGAAACCCTCAAAATTTTCAGCCAGACAGTTCCACGCATTGTGCCAAGAAAAGCTGAAATTCTGACCTGTCTTAAATGAAGCAGTTAATTTATTCCAATCTGCATAATTTATCTCATTATGCATAATTTATTTTGCTTCTGCTAGTCATTGGAAGTAACAAGGAACCGTCAAAAGCTGCCCCAGCCCGCTGGAAATCTAATTTGACCATTTCATTGACCTCTGAGGTTTCGGCACACTTTTCAAGAGTATCTTTTCATTCTTAATGACTCAATATGTACTGTGCACTGGGCAGTTGGTATCTACAGTTCCAGCACAGGTAGCACTACATTTCTAATACCTTAAGTGATGGGAAGTCCTTGTGGACAACCAGCTAAACATGAGTTAACAGTCATGCGGCAGCAAAAAAACCCAATGGGATTTTGGCCTGCATAAATAGGAGTATAGTGTCTAGATTAATGTTTCTCAATCTGGATGTTGGGATCTCTTGGGGGAGGGGGTCATGAGGGGGTGTCAGAGGGGTCACCAAAGACCATCAGAAAACATTTTCTGTTCGTAATGTGGGAAGTTTGGCCCAGTTCTATCATTGGTGGGGTTCAGAATGCTCTTTGGGTGTAGGTGAACTATAAATTCCAGCAAATACAACTTCCAAAAGTCAAGGTCTGTTTTCCCCAAACTCCACCAGTGTTCACATTTGGGCATATTGGGGATTTGTGCCAAGTTTGGTCCAGATCCATCATTGTTTGGGTCCACAGTGCTCTCTGGATGTAGGTGAACTACAACTCCAAAACTCAAGGTCAATGCCCACCAAACCCTTCCAGCATTTTTTGTTGGTCACGGAGGTTCTGTGTGCCAAGTTTGGTTCAATTCCATCGTTGGTGGAGTTCAGAATACTCTTTGATTGTAGGTGAACTATAAATCCCAGCAACTACAACTCCCAAACGACAAAATCATTTTTTTAAGAGTGAAGGACATACATTGGGTTGTTATGTGTCTTGTGTCCAAATTTATTATTATTTATTTTATTTACTTTGCTTATATACCGCTGTATCTCAAGCCCGAAGGCGACTCACAGCGGTTCACAAACAGTAAACAGTAGAAACAGCAGTGGTTCCATACAACATATAACAATTGACTTAACACATTATCCATAAATTACCAATAAGCAATTACAATGCACAATTATTACAAAAAACAACCGTACCCAATCTTCTCATCATCCAAGCGTAGTCCAGATTCGTCGTCCATTGTTCCATTCCTATGTTCCATTACCATTGTACTAAATTACTCAAACGCCTGCACAAACATCCAGGTCTTCACCTTTTTGCGGAATACCATTAGAGATGGTGCTAGTCTAATGTCCGTAGGAAGGGCGTTCCACAGCCGAGGAGCCACCACCGAGAAGGCCCTATCTCTCGTCCCCGCCAGCCGAGCTTGAGAAGCAGGCGGGATCGAGAGCAGGGTCTCCCCGGAAGATCTCAAAGTCCTGGTGGGTTCATAGGCAGAGATGCGGTCAGATAGGTAGCTTGGGCCGGAACCGTTTAGGGCTTTAAAGGCCAACGCCAGCACTTTGAATTCAGCCCGGTAGCAGATCGGTAGCCAGTGGAGTTGGCGCAACAGGGGGGTTGTATGCTCCCTGCGCTCCGCTCCTGTTAAAATCATGGCTGCCGAGCGTTGGACTAGTTGGAGCTTCCGAGCTGTCTTCAAAGGCAACCCCACGTAGAGAGCGTTGCAGTAGTCTAAACGGGATGTAACCAGAGTGTGGACTACCGTGGCCAAGTCAGAATTCATGCAGTGGTTTTTGAGTTCTGTTAATCCCACAAAAGAAACATTACATTTTTTTATATAATATTATAAATATTATATATATATATATATACACACACACACACACACACACACACACACACATACATACACACACACACACAATATATTATATTACATTATATTATATTGTATTATATTATTAGCATAGCACAGGAGACAAGGTGGAACTTTGGAGGCTTTCAAACAGGCTGGATGACCATCCGTCGGGGGTGCTTTGAATGTGGTTTTCCTACTTCTTGGTGGGAGGTTGGACTGGATGGCCCATGTGGTCTTTTCCAACTCAACGATTCTATGATTCTACGAAGATGTTTTCTGACAAAGGCAAGCAAAAAGATGGCATGGCTTTCTATTGTTATGTGATTAGTACTGACACCAGAGTGAAGGAACCCCAACTTTGCATGGCCCACTTTCCCTCTATGGTGGAGGCTCTTAGAGCCTTGGTTCTGTGGCTACTGTTGCATTTCCTCACAAATCACCGAACCTCCTCCATTCTAGGACCATTCATCAGTCGCTCTGCCTCTCACTCCAGCTTTTCCTCTCGTTTCTCTTGCAGGCTTAATTGGTGACATCTCTCTCAACAAAACCCCCTTAAGGAACTTCAAGATTTACAACCTGGAGATGAAACCCAGCTTCATGGAAAGGTTGCGGTGACAAATTCTCCCTCCCTCTCCCCTCTCTTGCAGTTATTTGTTTCCCCCCTTTCCCCCTCATTTACAGCAAACACATTTGGCAGAGGGACAGCATCTAGTTAGTAGCTCCACCTGCCACCAAGCCAGTGCCTGGCAAAGAAGGAGGCTGACAGATCCGGACCTGAGAGCTCAAGTGGAAGCGCACCGGGCTCTCCAGCAGCCCCCTCCCAGAGCTTCAGAGTAACATGTTCCTTGGAATGATTTAGTTTTCTACCCAGTTACTTTTGCAGCAATGAATTGGAACAGTGTTCTTTTTCTCTGTATTGTTGAAGGCTTTCATGGCCCGAATTACTGGGTTGTTGTAGGTTTTTCGGGCTATATGGCCATGTTCTTGAAGCATTCTCTCCTGATGTTTCGCCTGCATCAATGGCAGGCAGTCTCATAGGTTGTGAGATCTACGGCAGGCATCCTCAGAGGTTTGAGACTGTACTAATAATACAATATAATGTAATATAATATAATATATTGTATATACATATAATATTTATAATATTATAATGCAATGTACTATAATACTAATAATAATATGATATTATAGTTGTATATTTATATTACATGTAATATTACTAATAATATTACAATGTAATGGTATAGTACAATATAGTAATATTTAATACTGATATTGTACTATGCTAATAATATATTGTATGTATATATATATCTTGTAAGCTGCTCTGAGTCCCCTTTGGGGGGTGAGCAGGACAGCATATAAATATCGTAAATGAATAAATAAATAATACTACTATACTGTAGTTTTCTTAGTAATATTACATGTAATATAAAATATATAATGATTATATTGTATTATTAGGAAAAAAAATTTGTCGTGTCAGGAGTGTCCTGTTGTGAGAGAATTGGCCGTCTGCAAGGACGTTGCCCAGGGGATGCCCGGATGATTTTGATGTTTTATCATCCTTGTGGGAGGCTTCTCTCATGTCCCCGCATGAGGAGCTGGAGCTGTTAGAGGGAGCTCATCCGCCTCTCTCCGAATTCGAACCTGCAACCTGTCGGTCTTCAGTCCTGCCGGCACAGGTGTTTAACCCACTGCGCCACCGGGGGCTCCTATTATTAAGATTATATTGTATTACATTATAATATTATTATCAATATTATATGTGTATATAATATATTATAATATTACCACAGCACAATATTAGTATTATGTATTACTATATTGTACTATACCACTGTACTGTAGTATGATTAGTAATATTACATGTAATATAAAATATATAATGATTATATTGTATTATTAGGTTTATATTGTATTGCATTATAATATTATTATCAATATAATATTTGTATACAATATATTATAATATTAGCACAGCACAATATTAGTATTATGTATTACTGTATTGCACTACATCACTATATTGTAATATTATTAGTAATGTTACATGTAATATAAAATAAAATAATTATATTGTATTATTATTAGTATTATATTAAGGAGCCCCTGGTGGCGCAGTGGGTTAAACCCCTGTGCCGGCAGGACTGAAGACCGACAGGTCGAAGGTTCGAAACCGGGGAGAGGCAGATGAGCTCCCTCTATCAGCTCCAGCTCCTTATGTGGGGACATGAGAGAAGCCTCCCACAAGGATAATAAAAACATCAAATCATCCGTGCGTCCCCTGGGCAATGTCCTTGCAGACGGCCAATTCTCTCACACCAGAAGCAACTTGCAGTTTCTCAAATCGCTCCTGACACGACAAAAAAAAAGTATTATATTGTATTACATTACAATATTATTACCGATATTAAATGTGTATACAATATATTATATTATTAGCACAGCATTATATTAGTATTATACAATATTACTATAACCTCCTGGGTCCTTAAAGGTTACAATTTTGGGCCAAAACAAGGGAAGCTGCTTGCTTTTACATTCTTGGCCAAAGCAAGCATTGTCAGCTACAAGAATGGTTGAGTTCTTTGCAGTTGGACATTAACAAGATTAGCTGGTAGTGCAAGTATTGAAGATTAGCAAAATATATATATATAATGAAGTAGAAATCTCTGCTAGGGAACCAACCTCAGTGTTTTCTAGACATAACAGAAGCATCCACCCCAGCATGTGCAGGTCCTCCAAAGGGAAGCCCTGTCCTGATCCCTGAGGCGTACCTTCCTTCCTTCCTTCTCTTTTGCAGCAGATGCCAGGCTTGCAATTTCCAAACTTGCTGGAGTTTGCAAATGGACAAGGGAGCAGAGATTCTGCTGAGCCAGCAAGCTTCCCTCCTCCATTTCGCCGGCACAGACTTCACATCTCCAGGGGAAGCCCTTCATTGGGTTAGGGCTCCAGAGTTGGTAGCAGAGCTTGTCGCCTCTAGGCATGTACGGAGCCTTTTTAATAAGGAAATATACACAGCCCCGGAGAGCTGAAGCAGATTAGATGAAATGGGAAGTGACATTTCCCAGGCCTCTGAAGGAACACCAACGTCTCCCCGGTTGCTTCCTTGCAGACAGAGATGCCGGTTGGCAAAAAAATTGGAACTGGGGAGGGAGAAAGAGAGAAACCTTTTAATCATTTCAGCCCCTTTGGTGTTGGGACCTTAAGGGTATGCTACTCATGGCATAACCTGGAAATCTATGTGTGTGTGAAAAAGAGAGAAAAATGGCAGGGATGGATAGGTTTACTGCTCTTTTTTTCCTATTGAGCTGTAAAGAGGAATGGTCCTGGGTTGCTGTGAGTTTGCCAGGCTGTATGGCCATGTTCCATGAGTTCTAAGCCAGCCCGGGTTGGAGTAAGCTCCCAACCATTTGTCTAGCTTGCTGTCGACCTTTGCAGTAAGAAAGACAGTTGCATCTGTCAAGTAGGAAATTTATGCGGGGGAAAGAAGGAGGAGGAGAAAGAAGAAGAAGAAGAGGAGGAAGAGGAGGAGGAGGAGGAGGAGGAGGAGGAGGAGGAAGTACTACTACTACTACTTTATTTTTCTACCCTGCCTCCATCTCCCCGAGGGGACTCAGGGCGGCTTACATGGGGCCAAGCCCAAGGCAACATACAATTAGAAACTGAACAATAACATATTAAAATATCATAAAAACAGCATAAACAATAATAAACAAGCATCCTAAGCAACAACAGATGCATATTGGGAGGGGGAGGCGGGGGCCAATATGCAAAACTAATTAAAAGATAGGCTGGTCAGTAAGGTGGATAGAATGAATAGTACCATAGAAATAGAGCAATTAAACAGGATCAATTCAGCTTAGCTTAAAAATGTAGTAATCAAATATAGGAATTTGGATTCAGGTCATGGTCAGAGATCATCTGTCAAAGGGGTCAGTCGAATTCTGGGAAGACTAATTTAACTAATTTACCACGCCATAAAAATCTCCAGCAGCGTGCAAAAGAATGAGGAAGTACTCCATCGGTGTCACAAGTGGGCAGTGAAGCAACAGCTCCCCCAGTGGCCAGAATTCGAGCATGCCCTCATGAAGCTGGAAAGTTAAATAGCCTCTGTGTGTCTGTCTATATGTGTTGTGTGTCTATGGCATTGAATGTTTGCCATGTATATGTGCATTGTGATCCACCCTGAGTCCCCTGCGGGGTGAGAAGGGCGGAATGTAAATACTTTAAATAAATAAATAAATAAAGCATTCTCTCCTGGCGTTTCGCCCACATCTATGGCAGGCATCCTCAAGTTGTGAGGACTGTTGGAAACCAAGCAAGTGAGGTTTATGTATCTGTGGAATGTCCAAGGTGGGAGAAAGAGCTCTTGTCTGTTTGAGGCAAGTGTGAATGCTGCAAATGGCCACCCTGATTAGCATTTAATGACTTTGCAGCTTCAAAGCCCAGTTGGTTGCTGCCCGAGGGAATCCCCTGCTGAAAGGTGCCATCTAGCCCCCACTGACTACTGTCTGAAATTCCACTGTTCTATGAGTGCTGCCCTTCATCCACTGCCATAGATGTGAGCGAAACGTCAGGAGAGAATGCTTCTGGAATATGGCCATATGGCCCGGAAAACTCTCAGCAACCCAGTGATTTCGGCCATGAAAACCTTCGACAGCACAAGGAATAGTCCTGTTTATGACTACTTCTACCTTGAGACAAGAGTATCATCATAGTCCTATTCAAACATATAGAATAGTATAGTAGGGAAGAGGGTTGCCTTTTGCTGTTGTTCAGTTCAATAGATTATGGGTATTTGGAACTGTGGGAGTTGTAATCCTCCAAACCTGGAGAGTCAACCATCTAGGATAGACCAGTTCACTATCTCTCCTGCTAAAGTTGACTACTTTTGATTTTTTTAGCACCGGAGAGTTTGAATTAGTGGTTGCAGCCACCAATGTAATTATATAGACTAAGATCTCCATATCTACAGATTCTGCATTCACGAATTCTGACATCTGCAGTCTGAAAATAATTTTAAAATCCAAAAAGTAAATTGTTGTGTTTTTTTCCATTTTTTTTTACAACGGACACTATTTTATACAACACTAGCTGTCCCCTGCCAAGCATTGCTGTTGCCCAGTCTGTGTATATGTGTTTTGTGTGTTTATATTTGTGTATATGTGTATATATGTGGTTTTGCGCATGCCTTGTAATGTATTTTTATTTTTTGGCTTTTCAAGTCTCTTCTGTTGTGTTTTTCAGTATTTTTATTAGTGATGGTCACTCATTGGCCTGATAGGTGCATTGTGTCCAAATTTGGTGTCAATTCGCCCAGTGGTTTTTGAGTTATGTTAATCCCACAAATGAACATTACATTTTTGTTTATATAGATTGTATATACTTAAGCATCCAGATATATTGGGTGTCCGTGGCAAGGGATTGGTCCTGAAGCCAAACCTAATGGATATTATGTTTTTATGTTTGGAATCCACCCTGAGTCCCTTTGGGGAGATAGAGCGGAATATAAACAAATTATTATTATTATTATTATTATTATTATTATTATTATTATTATTATTAAGGGCCCAGTGTACTCATAATCGTATAGCTAAGATCCCTTTTCCTTATTTTATGCCTAAAACACCATTGTATGTAATCTGGAAGATTTTCCTGTATGAGTTTGTTTATAAACTATTTTAAAATTCTAATTCTTGTTATGATCTGGTCAGGACACTATGCTTATCTTCAGGTGGCCTGTTTTGCTTTTCCAACCTGGAAGGAGAAGGAGTTCTCTAAGGGCCACATTCACACAAACAGCTATTGTGTGCATGGAGAACTGATTCTCCGTTTACCTCTTTTTGTGAGTTGGACTCGACTTCCCAGTTACCTTGGAAGGGCAGTTGAGTCCGACCCTCTAAAAATACCTACATCGAGATTTCACCAAGCGACTGCAAGTCGCTTCTGGTGTGAGAGAATTAGACGTCTGCAAGGACGTTGCCCAGGGGATGCCTGGATGTTTTACCATCCTGAGGGAGGCTTCTCTCATGCCCCTGCATGGGAAGCTGGAGCTGACAGACAGGAGCTCACCCTGCTCCCCGGATTCGAACTGCTGATGTTTTGGTCAGCAGTCCTGCCAGCACATTGCACCATTGGGGGCTCCTAATAAGGCAATCAGGGGACAAAATAACTTGTGAGAGAAGGTTGGGGTCTGTAAATATCTCGCAGCACCAAACCTGGTTATGTGGATGGTTACATCCTTTGGAGACCTTTTGGCAGCTGTTTTCTCTTTCTCAGCAGTTTCTTTTCTGTCCACAGTCTACGCGGATTCACTCCCTGGAGCGCCGTTCCTGACAGTGCCGTGGGGCCCGCGTTTTTCCGAGGAACCCTCCAAGTGCAGCATTTGCCTCGGGATACTTTCTTAAAGCTGGAGGTCAGTTTATTTACTTATTTATTTCCTTATTTCTATCCCGCCTTTCTCAGACCGAAGGCGACTCAAGGCAGCTTACAATTTGGCAGCAATTTAATGCCACAACAGTCATAAATACCATTAAAACATTTAATATGACATAATAAAAACCCATTAAAAACATATAATCACCAATGACTTTTAGTTTAACTTATTTTCCATTTGCTTTGTCCAAGCCGTTCCATGTTCCCTATTTCATATTTATCTATTAACCTGCATTTCCAAAACCTTGTTCAAAGAGCCAGATCTTTACTTTTTTCCAGAAAGTCAAGAGTGTGGGGGCCGACCCAATATCCCTGGGGCGGGGGGGGACCTCAAGAATTGGTACAAGAAAGATTGACCCTTGCCGTTGTGCCTTAGAGTCCCAAATTGAACAGACTGTTTTCCATGTGAGTGAAAGCTTTCAAGTTGCCTGTCACCTTATGGTAGAATTATAAGAGTTGGAAGAGACCTCACGGGCCATCCAATCCAACCCCATTCTGCCAAGAAGCAGGAAAATCACATTCAAAACAACCCCATCAGATGGCCATCCAGCCTCTGTTGAAAAGCCTCCAAAGAAGGAGCCTCCACCACACTTCGGAGCAGAGAGTTCCACTGCTGAACAGCTCTCACAGTCAGGAAGTTCTTCCTAATGTTCAGGTGGAATCTCTTTTCCTGTAGTTTGAAGCCATTGTTCAATTGCGTCGTAGTCTCCAGGGCAGCAGGAAACAAGCTTGCTCCCATGAATGTAATAGGATTTTCTCAAGCAAGCAAAGTCAGAGGTGGTTTGGCCAGTTACTTCCTCTGAAATATAGCCTATAGCACTTTGGATTTGTTGATAGTCTTCCATCCAGTTACTAACCAGGGCTGACCCAGTGTAACTCCAAAGATCAGGTGGGATCTGCTGCTTTTAAGGCACCTATATATACCTTAAGTCAAATTGCACCTTGAAGTAAATATACAGTTATCCCTCCATATTTGTGTGTTGAATTTTTGCAAGATCCCCACATAATGAAAAAAAAACCACAAATAAAATAAACAGGTTTTTTTTTCTCATGAGCAAACACCTCTCTGGGAATTGCAAGGTCCTCCAGGATGATTATATAGTAGGCATGAGCAAACTTCAGCCCTCCAGGTGTTTTGGACTTCAACTTCCCTGGACCTAGACACCAGACTCCTATTTATGCAGGCAAAAATCCCATTGGCTTTTTTTGACGCCTCATGACATTGTTGGCTCATGTTTAACTTGTTCCACATGAGGACTCCCAAGATCTTTCCTCCATGTACTGCTGTGTAGCCAGGCATCACCCCCCATTCTGTATCTTTGCATTTCATTTTTGTCTGCCTAAGTGGAGTATCTTGAATGGTTAAAATCCATTAGTCCTATAGCTGAATGCCAGTGTATTTCCTTCTCAGGTGTAACACCCTTTTCTGTCTTGCCAGGGCTGGGAAAAGGGAGTTGTGTTTGTCAATGGGCAAAACCTCGGTCGCTACTGGAACATTGGTCCTCAGGAAACGCTTTTCCTCCCAGGGACGTGGCTCCAGGAAGGACACAACGAGGTGAGTTGCTTGATTTGGAACATGTGCTTTCTCTTAGCTCAATGCATTTGGGATCCTATGATACGTGTAAGAACTTACCCTTCTTGGCATTAACAATTTGATGCCTCAGTTAATGTTTGTGCCTCCTGGCCTGCAGGTTCCATTCAAGTGCCATTGACTATGCAGCAGATCCTTCATAGGTTCAATATGTGCCCTAAAAGTTTGTGTTATTGAACAGCCCTCCTGATTTATTGAGATAGCAGAATGGGAGTGCTGGGATTTTGAGTGAAGTTGACTATAATCCAGATTATAGGATTATAGGAGCCCCCGGTGGCACAATGGGTTAAACCCCTGTGCCGGCAGGACTGAAGACCGACAGGTAGCAGGTTCGAATCTGGGCAGAGCGTGGATGAGCTCCCTCTATCAGCTCCAGCTCCCCATTACGGGGACATGAAAGAAGCCTCCCACAAGGATGGTAAAACATCAAAACATCCAGGTGTCCCCTAGATAGCATCCTTGCAGACGGCCAATTCTCTCACATCAGAAGCGACTTGCAATTTCTCAAGTCGCTCCTGACACACGCACACACACACAATTCTGTGGCCATCAGTGATACTTGAGTCATCTTTACATAGCCCATAAAAATAGTATGATAGTCATCATATCAGATGGGATGACTTTTCTAGTTTACTCTCTCTTKACTCTGGCCCAGAGTAGGAGTTGGTGCTGGGGGGAGCCCCCCCCCCCCAATGATGACATATGCAGGAGASAAGATGGAGCTGTCCCCTGCCCCCCTCTCTCTTCACTCTGGCCCAGAATGGCAGTTGGTGCTGGGGGGGGGAGGGGTCCCCAACTGATGACATTTGCGGGAGACAAGATGGAACTGTCCCCTGACCCCCTCTCTCTTCACTCTGGCCCAGAACGGCAGTTCGTGCTGAGGAGGAGGGGTCCCGAACTGATGATATATGCGGGAGACAAGATGGAACTGTCCCCTGGCCTCCTCTCTCTTTACTATGGCCCAGAACGAKAGTTGGTGCTGGGGGGAGGGATCCCCGCCTGATGACATATGCAGAAGACAAGATGGAGCTGTCCCCTGGCCTCCTCTCTTTTTACTCTGGCCCAGAACGACAGTTGGTGCTGGGGGGAGGGGTCTCCAACTGATGACATATGCGGGAGACAAGATGGAACTGTCCCCTCACCCCCTCTCTCTTCATTCTGGCCCAGAGCGGCAGTTGATGCTGGAGGGYAGGGGTCCCCAACTGATGACATATGCGGGAGACAAGATGGAACTGTCCCCTGGCCCCCTCTCTCTTCACTCTCTTCACTTTTCCCCCCTTCTTCTTGTTTCTCCCCTAGATTATCATTTTTGAAGAGCGTGCTGCCGGCCGGATTATCCAGTCCACAGACTTGCCTTTCCTAGGAAAGATCCAATATGTGAGCTGAGCGTGGGAGGGTGGTCTCCCTGGCTGCTCTACCATCTACAAAGTTCACTTGAAGCACTGGTTGAGGGTTCCTGGGGCACCGAAGTCTGGAAGCAAGCGAGTCTTCTCCTCCTCCTCCTCCTCCTCTGCTAGATCCCTGATAAAGACATGCCTCCTTGCTAATGAATGTCCTGGTTATGGGTGATGTTTGATTAGTTAAGGTTTGCCACATCCATGGATTTAGGAGGCGGACTCTGAATACTTGAAATGAGAAAACAAAATCCTCCAATATCTCGAAATCTTGTCCTCGAGGATCTAACTCTTCCATTGGTTTCTTGCCCCAGTTGTCTCAAAAGAAGCCAAGGGACTGGCAACGGGATCAGTGTGCAAGGGGTGGATTTACGAAGCTCTTCTCCAAGGTTTCAAACTGAACCAGGTGCAAATTGGAAGAGAAATGGTCTCACTGGCATCTGCAATAACCAGACTGGGGGATATACAAGACTTTCTTGTTGTTTTGAAGAATAGATTATCTTTTATTCCCTTCTTAGTTGCCGACTTCAGTCCTTAGGCGGGATGGGTAGGAATATAATCTTTGCATTTATGCATCCATTCTGTAGTGCAACCCCTGGATTGTTATTATTTATTAAAGGTACTTGAAGAACCACAATAAGTTCTCCAACTCCAGCAGATGAGCTGGGAGACATGTCCAAGCCATATGGAAATGGAAGCCAACTGCATTTGGGAGTGTTCACACTTGGAAATTGGACATTATGTCGAACTTTTAAGTGCACTCCACAAATTGGTTAATTCCATGCTGTTTGTAGCACTGAGAACAATGTATATGATTTTCTGAAACAGGATACAGTGTGTCACTGGATATAGCAACTTATCGCAGGGTTATGTGGGTCCTCCATGAGATGGCAGAGGTCCTTCCATCTCATGGAGGACCCATGAGATGACAGAGGTTCTGAGATGTCATCTTCCTTCCTCCCCATGTCTCCCCTACATATAATAGACCAGGAAGGCCATTGACTTCCTGACTTTAGATGATGAATGCATTAGAGCAAAACATCTGAAGACCACCAAGTTGGTGAGGACTGAATTAGGACCTCAGGGGAGATTTAACCTGGTTGATCTCTCTCTAATAGAGTAAGAAGACTACCAACCGATCTAGGTAGAATTTGGGATGATGCAGTCCAAAGTTCTGGCTGTCCTTGAATCCTGGCAAGACTTTATGTATAGTTCACACTCTTCTTTGCCATATGGATGAAATGAGACTTTCAGACTATTCCCAGCCAGACTTTCTCAATTTTTTGTTGACATTTGTAAGACAGGGGCAGCAGTAAAAGGAATGAGAGTTGGCTTGAAAAGAAAAGACCTTCTTTTTCACTTGCCTTTCTTGGAATCCAGAGTAGCATGAGAAGGCAATGTAGCATGTGTACATGTGAGAAGATGAGTATGTGTTGTCGAAGGCTTTCATGGCCGGAATCACTGGGTTGTTGTAGGATTTTTCGGGCTATATGCCCATGTTCTAGAGGCATTTTCTCCTGATGTTTCACCTGCATCAATGGCAAGCATCCTCAGAGGTTGTGAGGATACTTGCCATAGATGCAGGCGAAATGTAAGGAGAAAAAGCTCTAGAGCAGTGGTTCTCAACCTGGGGTCCCCAGATGTTTTTGGCCTACAACTCCCAGAAATCCTAGCCAGTTTACCAGCTCTTAGGATTTCTGGGAGTTGAAGGCCAAAAACATCTGGGGACCCCAGGTTGAGAACCACTGCTCTAGAACATGGCCATATAGCCCAAAAAAACCTACAACAACCCAGATGAGTATGTGTTGATCAGGCATCTTCAAACTGTGTCCCTCCAGCTGTTTGGACCTCCAACTCCCAGAAGCCCTATTAAACTTGTGCAGTTGTTAGGAATTCTGGGAGTTGAAGGCCCACACAGCTTGAGGGACGCAGTTTGAGAATGCCTGGTGTTCATTTTCCAAATGAGACTTCAGCCAGCATTTCGCGTGAGCCAGCCATTTGTCCAGTTCTGAAACAGCATCAGGCAGGGGAGGCAGCATGGCATCTTCCAGATGTTAACTCAGGGACTGAATCCCAGCCAGAATGGCCAGTAGCTCAGGATTGAAGTCCTACAACCTGGTGGTCTTTGGAAGGATGTTCTGAATTCTTACTTTTCAAATAACCCCGAGAGCTTCCCATTTCCATAGTTTGAGACCAACAAAATCTCTATCAGCACCTGTTTGGGGAAGAGTTCTTTCTCCAAATGCTCAAGATCCAATGTTTAGCTCTTTCTCGCTGTAATCTGAATTTCTTGGTTCCATTTCCAGTCCTTTAAAAATGAATTATGTCCCCTAACATACACCTACCTGCTCAGGAAATAGTTTTGCCTCAGCTTTGGCCCGGCCCCATTTCCCTTTTCGGCGCAACTGCGACTTTGCAGGCACAATAAATTTTGAGGGCCATCTGGCTGTTAAAAACCATATTTAATTTTATTTAACAAATTAAATACAGTTGAATTCAAACTTGAGAACAGACAGTGCAGCTTTAAAAAAAAAAAAAGAAAGAAACCAAACCCATTGTCTCTCCGGATGATGTGCTCCCAACCCACGCAAAGACAGGTGGCTCCCAAAGGCGGAGAGCCAACGACGCTCCCGTACGCTCCGCTGCAGAAACCAGGGCACTGCATTTCATAAAAGCACCTTTTATTTTGCAAAACAAAATGGAAATTAAAAAAAAAAGGAGTTTCTTAGGATGCATCGTTTTGATTTATTGTTCACCACAATCTGACAGGGTTATTGTTGTAAATAAAAAAGACAAGGCATGCTAATAAGAGGAGATGGCAGTTGGGAGCCACTCTTGCATTGTCAAAACTAAGTCTTTTTTTTAAAGCTCAACGCCTCTCACTTCTCCTCAATGAGTTGTGTTTTTCAAGGTTTCTGACGAGCTCATAATGGAGTGAAACACCAGCATGAGACGTTCTGGATTGTCCAAATTTCATACAGTTGAGTTTTGAATTTAGTCCAAGGTTTTTCTCCTCTGGGGAAAATAAATTACGAAAGAGTTGTTCACAGTTGGAAAACAAAAGAGCCTTATTGGTTTTAAGGCCTGTTGGTTTGGGGTTTTTCTCTATTCCCACTTGATTGTTTTAATAAATAGTGCCATAAATGGACAAAGAAAATAAAAAATGGTCTTCTATTATTGTTACGAAGGTGATGGTTATTGTAAAGGTTGCAAAATATATAGAGATCTGTTATCAGTCCAGAGACTGACTCGATTTCACGCTGTCTACATATCTTTGCTAGTTACGTTAAGGATTAAAAAAATAAGTGTGTTTTTCCTGTACAGAATTAGGTTACTTTCCCTTTCGCTGGCAGATATTATTTGTGCTTTACTTGTTTTGTTTTCATTTTTTTTAAAGGAAAGCTGAGATACAGGTTGTGTCCATTAGATGTTTAAATAAAGCCAGAACCTAGAGAGACACTTAAAAAAAAGATTTGGGGGAGTCCAAGAAGAATGCACGGGATCTCTCTTTGGTCTCTCATTTTTTGTTTTTTCCACAAACTAAAGTGTGGAGCTGCAGATAATTTCCCTTATGCTCTCTTTACCTTGTTCTTGGCACCCAACATGGGGCTTTATTTGAACGCTGCCTGGGAGCAAAGCTTCAATTAGTTGACGATATATACTTGTGTATAAGTTGACTTCATGTAGCAATGGAGGGAGGGTTTGGGGGTCAAATGATGGATTTTGATATGACCTGTGGATAAATTGAGGGAAAACACCAAGGCCAATTCAGTGGGGAAGCTGCCCTGGACCACCATTAGAACCAAATACCATGCATTCAAAAATACCAAAAGCAGAGAAAACAGGTTGTTTCTCCCAACATGGATTGAGCTCTGCCTTTCACCTTCTTTTGATAACATTCAAGGTACAATTCTTTTTCTGATCCTTAGATTCAGTCTCCTTCAAAATGGATCGCCTTCCTCAGCCCTGACTCTCTCTGCTTGCATTGAGCGATGCAACTAATGATAACATAGACCTGTTCCCTTTTGTGCAAGAATATGCGCATAAGGATCTCTGTATGCCTGAGTAGCTAAAACAGTATCCTCTGAGAAGATGCCCAGAGACTCTAGAGCAGTAGTTCTCAACCTTCTTAATGCTGCGACCCCTTAATACAGTTCCCCATGTTGTCGTGACCCCCAACCATAAAATTATTTTCGTTGCTACTTCATAACTGCAAGTTTGCTACTGTTATGAATCATAATGTAAATATCTGATATGCAGGATGTGATTTCATTCACCGGACAAAATTTGATACGTCCAAATTTGAATACTGGTGGGACTGATGGAGGGGATTGATTTTGTCAGTTGGGAGTTATAGTTGCTGGGATTTATAGTTAACCTGCAATCAAAGAGCATTCTGAACTCCACCGGCGATGGAATTGAACCAAACTTGGCACCCAGAACTCCCATGACCAACAGAAAAATACTGGAAGGGTTTGGTGGGCATTGACCTTGAGTTCTGGAGTTGTAGTCACCTACATCCAGAGAGCACTCTGGACTCAAACATGGGAAGCCCTGGCCCTTGAGCGCCCCAGCTGGAGGTCAGCTGTGACCAGCAGTGCTGCAGAATTTGAAGAGGCACGAATGGAGGGCAAAAGAGAGAAACGTGCCAAGAGGAAGGCACGTCAAGCCAACCCCGACCGAGACCGCCTTCCACCTGGAAACCAATGCCATCACTGCGGAAGAAGATGCAGATCAAGAATAGGGCTCCACAGTCACCTACAAACCCACCACCAGGACACCAAACTTGGAGGACCATCATCCTTGGACTACAAGGGATCGCATAAGTAAGTAAGGACTCAAACAATGATAGATCTGAACCAAACTTGGCACGAATACTCAATATGCCCAAATGTGAACACTGGTGGAGTTTGGGGAAAATAGATCTTGACTTTTGGGAGTTGTAGTTGCTGGGATTTAGCGTTCACCTACACTCAAAGAGCATTCTGAACTCCACAAATGGTAGAATTGGGTCAAACTTCTCACACAGAATCCCAATGCCCAACAGAATATACTGTGTTTTCTGATGGTCTTTGGCGACCCCTCTGACACCCCCTCATGACCCCCTCAGGGGTTCCGACCCCCAGGTTGAGAAACACTGCTCTAGAGTTCCCAGTGTATGGAAACAAGGTAATATAGGTGTTTCCTAAAGAATTTCATTCTCATCCCCTTTTTAGGAATTGTTTTTTGGTTTACTGAGAAATTTGATAGTAGGAGCCAAACGGTAGCATTAGATCTATTGCACCACTTTAGAAAACAGGTGGCTTTGTATTGCTGAATGCTTCTGCAGTGTGTGACACAGTGAGGACAACAGAAAGATAAACATTACATAGCCCTCTACCTGATGTGCTACTTTCCTTTTGAAAAAGGAGGATGATTAACTTATTCCTTAGTCTGAAGCATTCCTAAATCCTGTCACTTCACCTTTCCTACTGTGTAGATTGGCTCTGACAATGACTTGCTAAAAAAAGGAACTCTGACTCACAACCTTCCACATTTTCAAGGCCAGATTATATCCTTGCACCACCAACAGATTGCTTTCTACAGGGGTTTGAGGATGGTTTGATCATTCCTCAACTGGATCCTCAGCTTTGACTAGCATCCTATGGTTCCCATCTCTTGGTTTTTCAGCTGTTCCATCAGTCAACTGCATCGCAAGGTGGAGGACACACTTCTGAAATCAGTACCGTGTGTTTTGTGGGACTTTGACGGGTGACACATAGAATCATAAAATCATAGAGTTGGAAGAGACCTCATGGGCCATCCAGTCCAACCCCCTGCCCAGAAGCAGGAATATTGCATTCAAAGCACCCCTGACAGATGGCCATCCAGCCTCTGTTTAAAAGCTTCCAAAGAAGGAGCCTCCACCACACTCTGGGGCAGAGAGTTCCACTGCTGAACAGCTTTCACAGTCTGGAAGTTCTTCCTCATGTTCAGATGGAATCTCCTTTCTTGTAGTTTGAAGCCATTGATACCCATTTTTGTTTCTTTATCAACCTTTTAGATGGGACCTAAACAAGCATTTTCAACCAACTGATGTCCTTTTCTTACAACAGATCTATTTGGTTCTGGGGGGAGATTGAGGAGGTAGTCTCAATAGAAGGTTCCTCAATTGAGAAAGCATGGTGGCTTTACATGAACTTTGAATAATCCAAGCGAGATCCACACATGGTGGAGTCAGAGAAGAAGACCCTTCCTATCAAGCCAACCAAATGTGGGCATGGTGAATTGAACTGGAACACCACCTCAATGGAAAAGATATGGTTAGATATGCAGTCGTTTCCAATTGGCAGCTTTATCTTTTCCTCCCCCTCTCCCACCCCTTGGCTAAATCTTGCCATCTTTTACAACATAATTAAATATAATTTTTGAAGGGAAAAGTGCCACAGCCAAGGGCAGCATTTCCTTCTGAATGGAAGAGCTGCTTTGTCTGGTTGTGCCCAGTAAGAAATTCATGCCTTCTGAGACGGAAAGAACCATTTACTGGTCAAAATGGTGACTCTAATGGATGTCCTCTGGAAGGCAACCCCTTGATCTGAACCGTAGCTTCCAAAGGTGGCTTTCCAGGCACATGTCCTTATGCGAGCATCATCCGCCCCTTTCATCCCACGAGTCTCTGCACCTCCGACCAAAAGTGTCTCCGGCTCCACCGCCTCTGTGCTATTTTTTCCTGCTTTTTTAAGTGGTTCATCTCCAGAGGGTGAGTTGTGGCGTTATCCTTCTTCATTCAAGAATTCGACAAGGAAGCGCAGGAGAGTCCGAGCCGTTGGTGGTTGTTTGGCAATTGGGCCCGGTTGCTCTCAGTTTGTTAAAAGTATCCAGACTACGCCTGGAGACTGGCTGGCTGGCTTGAGGACTCAACGAGAGGGAATATGCTGCAAATTAAAACATTGATTTTGAGTGTTACATTTTTCCTGTATTTCAGCAAGAAACTCCTCTTCTCCAACTTACCCATCCATTGCTATTGCAACTATAGAATCATAGAATCAACTATCTTCAACAGCAACAGATCTCATGTTAACCGAGTCATAGCAGACATCCAAAATGTGTCTCATCCTACCTTTTTTCTATCAACATCTATCATATTATACAGTAGAGTCTCTCTTATTCAACACTAGCTGTCCCCTGCCATGCGTTGCTGTGGCCCAGTCTGTATATATGTATTTGTGTGTATGTATATATGTGTTTATATGTGTGTGTATATTTGTGTATCTGTGTATATATGTGTGTTTGCATATATATGTGTGTGTGTAGATGTGTGTGTATGTATGTATATATTTGTGTATTTATATGTATATGTATATTGTGTATATGTATATGTTTATATGTATATGTATATTGCATATGTGTGTGTGCTTGTCTATATCCATATTTGTATTTATATATGTGTGTATGTATGTGTGCATGTATATATGTGTGTGTATGCAGATGTATGTGTGTGTATACTTGTGTGTGCTATATATGTGTGTGTGTGTGTGTGTACGTGTGCATGTGTTTATGTATATGTGTGTGTGTGTGTGTATATATATATATATGGTGCATTTTTGGGGTTTTCAGTCTGTTCTGTTGGAGAGGTTGTATTTTTAGGGGTGATGAACACTCGCTGGACTGTTAGGTGTATTGTGTCAAAATTTCGTGTCAATTCGTTCAGTGGTTCTTGAATTACGTTAATCCCACAAACGAACATTACATTTTTATTTATATAGATAAACAAGCCAGCAGAATATTGGATAAGTGAAAATGTTGGATAATAAGGAGGGATTAAGGAAATGCCTATTGAATGTCAATTATGTTATGATTTTACAAATTAAGCACCAAAACATTATGTTTTACAAAAAATCGACAGAAAAAGCAGTTCACTACACAGTAAGTCATTATTGCCTTTACTAATTTAGCACCAAAACATTGCAATGTATTGAAACAGCTGTGGATCCGGGTGGGAGGCAAACTGCGTTTGATAATACAGAACGTTGGATGAGCGAAGGTTGGATAAGCGAGACTCTACTGTAATGCCATGCAGTGCTTTTTCTGTACCTAAGAGATGGAATGAAGGTGAAACAACGAAGCAGTAGAATGATTCCACCTTATACTAAAATTACAGAAGAGAGAATTCATACAGATTTTGGACAGCTGCCCTAGTTTCAGTGCTTTCCTTTGCCTATCTATATATTACAGTGAAATCCCAAAACTGAATAGATGCTGACAAAGGTAAATGAGTGTTGACAGTCATGCTAGCTGGGACTTCGGAGAGGTGCAGTTCAAAGCATATGGAGGGCCAAAGATTGAGAACTCAGCTCTCCATTAAATTTTGCAAATGGACAGAAACTCGGAGATGTTGAATGTTAACTGTTGCCTAAATGTGACTGGCAGCAATTCACCCAGGTGCATATGAAAAGAGGAAAGATAGACACTTTGACAAAATTGGGCTGGAATTACCAGTGTGTACAGTTTTGCCAACATTCACAAAAAAATTTGGACATCTAGGAACAGGGCCGATTCCAAGATAAATAAGTAGCCAAAATGTTGGATATTTGCGTATCCGCTTGTATAAGATTAAGCCCTTGTAATTATTTGGTGTAGTTTTTAAAGTGGTGGTTATTGACACATATCAATAAGAGCTCATCTTTTCACATAATCAAAATTTACTGTGATAACTATTTCAGTTATAGCACAGATCAAGACAAAGACTATGCTGTGATTTGGTAGCTTTTCCTTTAACCGTAGCTTTATACTTCACATTATTCGTGGATTTGATTAATATGGTCTCTTTCTAAGATACTGGACTCCAGTGTGACTCTCTAGTCAACTTTCATCAGAGGTTGACCATAAAGCTGTGCTGGAGGACCTCAACATTTCTAGAGAGGTATTTTCTCATTATTTAAAAAATAATGTTTTATTTCCTTATTATTTGGGCTGGAGTTTAGCACAGCTGGTAAACCATCAGCAATGATAAGATCTACCAACCAAAAGGTTACCAGTTCAAAGCCCCAAGTGGGTGTGAGCTGCCGACTGTCAAGCACAGCTTACTGTTGACCTAAGCAGTTTAAAAACAGCTTGTGCTATAATTAGAGAAAATAGGTATCGCTAAAACAAACAGGGGAGGTATTTTACGACACCATAAAGAAAAAAGATCAGAAAATGCCGGGCGACCAAAAGGAAGGAGGAAGTCCTGATGGCTCTTCATCATAGAGGATGAAGCAACAGCATCCCCCTGTGGCTGGATTTTGAGCGCAACCTTCCAAGTTGCCAAAAAAACTGGATGTTGACATTGACACAACATACCTCCTTCTGTTCCATCTGTCTCTGTATTGTCTATCCTAAACGGCATTGAATGTTTGCCATGTATGTGTATTGTGATCCGCCCTGAGTCCCCCTTGAGGAGATAGGGCAGAATATAAATAGAGTGTTGTTATTATTTTCAGTTTTTCCACTTTCATGGGGATTGACCACAGCGAATATAGAAGTCTGAAGAGCCTTACAAAATAGCATGTTCCATTCAACTCTATTAAATTATCTGGACCAATAAGCATGCAACACTAATGTACAATAACATCTTGACTATGTTTGCATGTATACATACACCCCATATTCATATCTAACCATGCAATGAGATTTTCTCATACACACTTCATCAAAGAGTCTTGGTAGAATGTTACCTGCTAATATATTTCTCTGGTTTTTTTGGTGCGATGTCAGATTTCCACATTTGGGTCTGTGAAGCCTTTCTTCCCCTCATTCACCAGTACCGGTTTCTCTGTCCTTGTGTGCCAGACAAGAATCTGGATGAAAGAGAGAACAAAAGAAAATGGATTGCCACCTATTTTGTGTTATATTGATAAACCAATAGCAGACATCTAACATCTAACGACGTTCCCTGGAGGTTAACCAGGCATCACGAGTGAGATGGCAAAAAGCTTCATGGGTGCATTCCATCTCCTTCCTTTCCTCTTTTTTTCTTGTGAGTCAGTAAGATGAGAAAAGTGCATAGAAAGAAATTGTGCTATGTCTCAGGGTATTTACCCAGTCCTTTGGCACACTTGTTGACTGACCCTTAGCTCATCAACACTCACCATCTTTATTTGGCTTACACATCCTCTTTCCCCCCTTTGAAATACTTTGCCACTCATTTTGGTTCTCCTATGACACATGCTTTGGTTCTTCAACACTGGTTGATTTCAAGAAAGAAGACACTATCTTTGCTGCAGGAGTTCTGTGGCACTGCAGGAGGACAGATCTACTTCTGACCCTCCAAAGAAGATTGCCAATGAGCTCAACAATCCCTCTGCAACCTATGAGCCAACAAGCTAGATAGACCCACTCACCATGTTTGGGAGCTTCAAGATGCTTAGTGGTCTCCATCTCATAGATGGGTAGCATCAAATCCTGGGAAGCCAGCAAGAGACATCTTTCCTCAGTGGCCTTGTTCAATAGTGTTCCTGCCTTCTCCATCAAGATCAACTTTTATCTCCTAAAGGTTTAGTTTCTGACAGAGGAGTTGAAACTACAATGTGATGGTATTATCGAAGGCTTTCATGACCGGAATCACTGGGTTGTTGTAAGTTTATTGGGCTGTATAGCCATGTTCTAGAACTACCTTGCTGTACTTGATTCCTCAGGCTTCTTACTGCCTGGGGGAATCCTTTGTTGAGAGGTGATTAGCTGTCCCTGATTGTTTCTTGGGCTTAGTACACACTACATCAAGGATTCAGCCCTTCTTGTTGTTGTTTATTCATTCAGTTGCTTATGACTCTTCGTGACCTCATGGACCAGTCAATGCCAGAGCTCCCTGTCAGCAGTTACCACCCCAGCTCCTTCAGAGTCAAGCCAGTCACTTCAAGGATACCATCCATCTATCTTGCCTTTGGTCGGCCTCTCCTCCCTTGCTAGGGTTAGGGATACAAGTAATGCTGCTTTTTAACCTGGGAGAACGTCTCTCCATGAATCTCAGGATCCTCAAGAATGACTCTGGTCAACTTCTGTGATCAACTTCCACAAGATACTGACCACAAAATCTCACTGAAGAATCTAGAGGTGTTCCTCTAGGAATCTCTAGCTTCTTCAGTGTAACTCTGGTCAACTTCTGGCAAAGGTCCCTGTATATACACACTGAAGGATCTTGAGATACCAAGAGAGAACAATTGTAGAGGAATCTCTAGGTCCTTCAGTGTGAATTTAGGTAAACTTCTGGTGGATATATTGTTTTTTCATTCAGTCGCTTCCAACTCTTCGTGACCTTCCATTTTCCCAGGCATAATTGCCTTCTCTAAGCTTTCCTGTCTTCTCATTATGTGGCCAAAGTACTTCATCTTGGCCTCTACTATTCTTCCCTCCAATGAGCAGTCAGGCTGTATTTCTTGAAGTATGGACTGGTTGAATCTTCTTGCGGTCCAAGGCACTCTCAGAATTTTCCTCCAGCACCACATTGAAAACCGTCTCTCTTCATTCACTCAGCCTTTCTTATGGTCCAGCTCCCACATCCATAGGTTACTATGGGGAATACCATTGCTTTGACTATGTGGATCTTGGTGGCCAGTGTGATGTCTCTACTCTTCACTATTTTATTGAGATTGGACATTGCTCTCCTCCCAAGAAGTAAGCGTCTCCTGATTTCCTGGCTACAGTCTGAGTCTGAAGTAATCTTTGCACCTAGAAATACAAGTTCTGTTACTGCCTCCACGTATTCTCCTTCTATTTGCCAGTTATCAATAAGTCTTGTTTTGTGATATGGCCTAAAGGCTAATCAATAAAAATTACTACTACTACTATAATAAGTCTCGTTGCCATAATCTTTATATATAATATATATATATATGTATGTATGAATGTATGTATGTATGTATGTATGTATGTATGTATGTATGTTATTTTGGTCCCATCTTTTTGAAAGTTGTCTCATCTTTTGGTTCTTGACTTTTCTAAACACTGGAATATACCCCCTACTCCCCAAAAAATCTTTGAAATGGTATTCAGTCCTAGGAATGAGCGAAGTTCTCCATCTTTCTTCAATTCTCTTATTTTGGCTATACCAGATGTTCAGTAAAAACAGAGCCTCGAAAAGCCAGGTTGATGATTTGGGTTGCCACTGCCTGCAGCATAACCCCCAGTACCTGAGCCACACATTTGTTTTGGCAGATTACAATGACTTGATTCATCTCTAGTGGAACTATCAGTTATGCACACACGCCTCCAGTGCTCTAGCATCGCACATTGCCTCTCTAATTACAGAAGTCATCGAAACCATGGTGCTGTTTTTTCTTTGTCAACTCTCCAAAGGATTGTTCCTCTAAATCATTTTGAACATCCCAGGCCTTCTGCACTCCACAGAGGAAACTGGCAACTCTGCCTACAGTAAAGGAGTGGTAAATGAGAATGATGAGAGACTGCCAAAAAGGACTGCCCTTTAATATAATAATAATAACAAAACAACAACAACAATAACTTTTTTCTTATAGCCCACCACCATCTCCCTGAAGGACTCAGGGCAGCTTACAGACGGCACAATGTGCCTAAAAACAAACATAAAAGTGAACGCAATATAAAATACAATAAAATAAAACACATGCACATACAGAAACATCAACTTAGATGCAATCAAGCTGTGATCCCCAAACCGTGGCAGTAAATTACTGGCACAGTGGCACCATTAGACAAGATTCCTATATAGGGACTGCTGGAAGAATGATGAAATTCCTAGATAACTCCTCTTTATGCAGCACTAGGTCCGCTATTTCAACTCTATAGTCAACATCTAATGAAAGCATCCCATAGAATAACTGGAAAGACCTAGAAAATGACATATCTTGTCATATGCAGTTAGATACCATTCCACAGATATGGGGATTGTACTCAACCTGGAGGAATGTGGTGTTGGAGGAAAGTTCTGAGAGTGCCTTGGACTGCGAGAAGATCCAACCAGTCCATACTTCAGGAAATAAAGCCCAACTGATCATTAGAGGGAAGGATATTAGAGGAACGATGAAGTACTTTGGCCACATCATGAGAAGACAGGAAAGCTTAGAGAAGACAATGATGCTGGGGGAAATGGAAGGAAAAAGGAAGAGGGGCTGACCAAGGACAAGATGAATGGATGGTATCCTTGAAGTGACTGGCTTGACCTTGAAGGAGCTGGGGATGCAGCCAACAGGGAGCTCTGGCGTGGGTTGGTCCATGAGGTCACGGAGAGTCGGAAGCGACTGAACAAATAAACAACAACACTCAACCTGGAAAATCTGTGATTTCATCAATGTAGGTAATTCTTCAACCAAGAAAGGACCACAACTATTCCTATTGTCATTGTGGAATAGTTGCTATGGCCAGTCCAAGCATGAACCATCCTTACATGCCTGAGCTGATTCTTGAGTTGGTAGCCATTCAGTTGCCTACCATGACATCCTTTAAACCATGCCACAGGTGTTATCATTCCAACCTCCGAAGTCCACATATGGTTGAATTGTAAATCCCATCAACCATAATCCACAAAGCTAACAGGAAGAATGCTGGAAGTTAGAGTCCAACACAGTTTGAAAAGTCCCCTGATGCCCACCTCTACCTTATCAGAGCCTCTGCTTCAAGAAATGATTGTTGCCTTCCATGCCATGAAGGAAGTGACACAGCAGGACCTTTATAGTATACAGCTTATTATACAAGCTAACCAACATCTGCTGCATGTTTGTTGTGTGTATGAGTGTGAGGGAAAAAAACAGAGAACGGGAAGTAGCAAATTTTTGCAAGCCTCCCCAAACAAATCCACCCTGGACAACAACTTCAATTGCAATCCTCCTTGAAAAAAATGTCTACAAAACAATATCTGCTAAATGTTTTTCCCTGTCCTGCTCTTTGTATCTATGTGGTCTGTTGGCGCATCCTTCTGCTCCCCATTTCCACTCTTCCACTTGATTCCCCTCACCTTGACAGGCCTTCTGTCTTGTTGCTATGACAATAGACCACATGTTTAATCGATCCTGTTTCATACTCTTGCCCCCTTCCTTTGCTTTGCTGGAAACAATCCTGGCTGGATACAAGAGCTGGGCTTGCTTACAAAGGACACAAAGCCGTGGACTTTTTTTGCTACCAGAACCTGACGTTTCCATTTTTTTTTTGATCTCTACGAAGAAGGGGGATTCTTTCTAACTGAAGTCAATGAAGGATATATCTTTTTCACTACCAGCCTAGTGAATAGTGGGTAGACTGTGTTTCTGACAATTCCACAACAGAGTAGCTAAGAACCCTGGAATTTTCCCCAGCTGTGGAGAATGCAGAAGGACAATGTTTTCAGACCCAAAGCAGCATTTTGGGGATTCCTCCACTCAGTTACATGGGAATTTGGCAATGTATGCTTGTTCAGTTGTGCGCTGGGCCTGTAAAGAATTTCCTTTAAGACAGGACGTGCAACCTTTGCCCAGCGGGAAGCCAGGGGCCCAAGGAGAAGTTCTCAGAGGTTTTCCAGAGACCTTTAGATGGCTTGTGAAGTATAACAAAGTCTTTTATTAATGAACAATCAAACAGCAAAACAACAGAGGGGAAACAAATAGGCACATAAAATCACTCTCAACAAGGGATTCCCCCCGGGCACTTCCAAGCCATTGAATGCTAATCAAGGTCATCAGCTGAAACATTCACATCCAGCCCCAGCAGACAAAAGTCCTTTGTCTCACCCTGGTCATTCCACAGATATATAAACCCATTTTTCCTACTTCCAACAGACCTCACTACCTCTGGGGATGCTTGCCATAGATGCAGGCGAAACGTCAGGAGAAAAATTGCCCCCAGAACATGGCCATATAGCCGGAAAAACCTACAACAACCCAGTGATTCCGGCCATGAAAGCCTTGGACAATACAATCAAACAGAGACTTCTCTTGTCTTCAATAAAGCTAAACAAATGCTTCCAAGTTTTATGCAACTGGTGACTTCCTAATCTTGCCCACGAAGGACAGGCAACTATCTTCAATAACTTCTTCTTACTTTAAATAGAAAATCCCCTTTTTAACTTCTCCCAGGCTGACTGTAATCTAACCCTTACTGATGTGGGCTCCGCTACTGGGTCGAACTGCATCTCGAAGCACCAAGTGGACCTACCAGTAAAGGCTTAGATATTCTCCAGCTGGAGTTCTTTGGTCTTTCAAACTGTTCACCCTCCGAAATTCCTCAAAGCTTTAGGACTGCTTCCCTGGAAATCTTTGGGTGCTCTTAAGACTGTTCTTCCCCYGAAGGACTTAAGGGTTGAAGCTTTTGTACAGAGGAAGCTTGCACACGTCCTGTACATTAGCTTTCCTTGCTGAGACTAACTAAAAATGGCTCCCTTCCCAATTGCCCTGAACCAGGGGCAGAACCAAAACTTAACGATGATGYAKAGGTGACTTGCCCTATGACTGCAACCAAAGGAAGACACGTATCTGCAGAAACCCAGGAACCTTGGACTGCAAGCAAACATTTAATACAAAGCAAATAAAATTGGAGCTCCTGGTACAGCCGTACCAGAACAATGCTTATTTCCTCTGAATGATGTCTTCCTTTTCATATATGGGCAGGAAACTCATGCTTAGATGGAACAGAGCCTAAAGCAGTGTTTTTCAACCTCGGGGTTGGGACCCCTCAGGGGGTCATGAGGAGGTGTCAGAGGGGTCACCAAAGACCATCAGAAAACACAGTATTTTCTGTTGGTCATGGGGGTCTCTGTGTGGGAAGTTAGGTGCAATTCTATCATTGGTGGGATTCAGAATGCTCTTTGACTGAAGGTGAACTATAAATCCCAGCAACTACAACTCCCAAACATCAAATCTATTTTCCCCAAACTTCACCAGAATTCACATTTGCACATATTGAGTTTCCGTGCCAAGTTTGGTGCAGATCCATCATTGTTTGAGTCCACAGTGCTCTCTGGATGCAGGTGAACTACAACTCCCAAACTCAAGGTCAATGCCCACCAAACCCTTCCAGTATTTTCTGTTGGTCATGGGAGTGCTGTGTGCTAAGTTTGGTTCAATTCTATCGCTGGTGGAGATTCAGAATGCTCTTTCGTTGTAGGTGAACTATGAATCCCAGCAACTACAACTCCCAAATGACAAAATCAATCTCCCCCTCAACCCCACCAGTATTCAAATTTAGGCATATAGGGTGTCTGTACCAGATATGGTCTAGAGAATGAAAATACATCCTGCAAATCAGATATTTACATTACGATTCATAACAGTAGTGAAACTACAGTTATGGAGTAGCAACAAAAATAATGTTATGGGGGTCACCACAACATGAGGAACTGTATTAAGGAGTCACACTCCTGATGGATGGCCATCCAGCCTCTGCTTAAAAGCCTCCAAAGAAGGAGCCTCCACCACACTCTACGGCACAGAGTTCTACAGCTGAACAGTTCTGGAACTCATCATGTTCTAGTTCAGTGGTTCAGTGGTTCTCAACCTTCCTAATGCCACAACCCCTTAATACAGTTCCTCATGTTGTGTTGACTCCCAACCATAAAATTATTTTCATTGCTATTTCATAATTGTTATTTTGCTACTGTTATGAATTGGAATGTAGATATCTGATATTCACTGGACCAAATTTGGCACAAATACTCAATGCGCCCAAATTTGAATACTGGTGGGGTTGGGGGGGGGAATCAATTTTGTCATTTGGGAGCTGTAGCTGGGGTTTATAGTTCACCTACAATCAAAGAGCATTCTGAACTCCACCAATAATAGAATTGAACCAAATTGGCACACAGAACCCCCATGATCAACAGAAAATATTGGAAGGGTTTGGTGGGCACTGAGCATGAGTTTGGGAGTTGTAGCTCACCTACATCCAGAGAGCACTGTGGACTCAAACAATGATGGATGTGGACCAAACTTGGCATGAATATCTAAATGCCCAAACTGCAAGTCGCTTCTGGTGTGAGAGAACTGGCCGTCTGCAAGGATGCTGCCTAGGGGACACCTGGATGTTTTGATGTTTTACCATCCTTGTGGGAGGCTACTCTTATGTCCCCGCATTTGGAGCTGGAGCTGATAGAAGGAGCTCATCCATGCTCTCACCAGATTCCAACTTCCAACCTGTCAGTCTTCAGTCCTGCTGGCACAAGGGTTTAACCCACTGCACCACAGATGTAAACCAAGGAGCAAGAAGAGTAAACCAACATCCTGATTTCTTTTCTCATTGAAAAAAACTGCCACAAATTGAAAACATGGAGATGGGAACCTACCTTAGTGCAATTGGCAGCTTTGGGCTCGAGGTCGTTCAGGGTCACTAGCTCTCGCAGTAGGCTGCTTTCCTGGTAGCCGCCCTTCACCCCTCGTAGTTTGAAGTAAGCCTGAGGTCGCTGAAGGATGAGCCTGAGGTTCACAGCAAAACCTGCCATGTCGATGGCAAAAGGCCGGTGAGGGTCGAAGACAGTCTTCCAGCCATACACCTTCCCAGCAGAATTCACTTTGGGTGACTCGTACCGCAAGCCTCCCACGAATGCTACTGGCCACACTGAGACTTTCCTGGTGGTCCGCATCTAGGCCAAAAGAAAGAGAAGCTGTAGAGCTAGCAGGAAGATTTACTTATGACAGTGAACAACAGCACGAGATGGGTTGCTGTAAGTGAACATGGCCATACAAGCCTAAAAAACTTACAGCAACCCAGTGATTCCGGCCATGAAAGTCTTCTACTAAAAAGCAAGAGAACAACCCTTTAAGGCAGTGGATCTCGACCTGTGGGTCCCCAGATGTTTTGGCCTTCAACTCCCAGAAATCCTAACAGCTGGTAAACTGGCTGGGATTTCTGGGAGTTGTAGGCCAAAACACCTGGGGACCCACAAGTTGAGAACCACTGCTTTAAGGTGAGCCATGTACCTGAGACATGTGAGGAATGTCTCCCTGTCCCATCACTGCCACCAGATGTGGGGATCTCTACCTGTCCCACCACAGTGACATCCAATGGGACCTTCTATATGCCCCATGATGTCCATGCAAGACTTCATTGTATAATCCCACCATTGGGTGCAACCAACTTTGAACTACTTCCGCCACCGTGTGTCTGAACTCACGAATATAAAAAACTCTTATGCAGAATTCTCAAAGGCATGAATGTACTTGTCTAATGCAAACAAAAAAATTAAACAGAAGTCCAACACAGTTAAAGGACTGCAGTTGGCCCTCCACATTCGTGGGTTTTACACTATATGATTTTGATTATGCATGGATTTGTTTCATATATTTTCTCTCTAGATATTCCAGCATGAGGGTAAATACAATGGGTTTTTAAAAAATTGCTTTCATAGAGGCCCAGCACCACTAGCCCCAACAAATGTGGAAAACTTCTTGTACTCTGTATGTAACTCAAAAGATTCTACCATCAGTCACTGACTGACCAAGCTCTTCTTATTCCTAAAGTTGGCAACTCTTCTGGTGAAGAACTTCCTCACTGTGAGAGCTGTTTAGCAGTGGAACTCTCTGCCCCAGGGTGTGGTGGAGGCTCCTTTTTTGGGAGGCTTTTAAACAGAGGCTTGATGGCCATCTGTCGGGGGTGCTTTGAATGCAATTTTCCTGCTTCTTGGCAGGGGTTTGGACTGAATGGCCCATGAGGTCTCTTCCAACTCTATGATTCTATGTTGAGGATGATGATGTTCACCTTTCCATTTTTCAAAGGTGAAGGCAGGTGCCTGCTGTCAGAAATAATTCATCTCCAAGGGAAACATATCGTGATTATTAAAAAAATTTTAATTGTGTATTGCGGTTTTTGCTGATGTTGCTTGTAATTTGTCTTTTGTAAATTTGCCTTTTGTAGTGTACACCGCCGTGAGTCGCCCGCAAGGGCTGAGAAGGGCGGTTAATAAATGCATAAATAAATAAATAAATAAATAATTATTCTGAGTGCCTGGAATGCATTAAGATTCTCTTCAACACCACTCAAGTTGGTTGAGGAGGTGCCAAAGTAAGACATTACATGGAACAAAACTCAAATGATTACTATTTCTAAAAGAGAGAGGTATTTCTATGTAAGAGAGAACATTTACAAGCCTCTTAGATACAACTGTGAGATTCGAAACAAGAGTTCCACTGGTGGAAGCTCTTCCTGTCTCTCCCTATTTCTCTTCCTCTGTCACAGCTTCTCAGCTGGACTTCCAAATCTGAGATCTCCCGGTCTGTCCCATGGCACTCCTAATTATGGCAAAAGAGTCTATAGAAGTATGAGATGTTTGCTTTCTTGCACCATATACTCGCAAACGGCTCTGACTACCCACAGGGGATGGTTGTGAAAGTTGGACAGTGAAGAAACCAAATCATTTGAAACATGGAGTTGGAGAAGACTTCTATGGAAATTGTGGACTGCTAAAAAGAAAAATCAGTGGGATCTAAAGCAGTGGTTCTCAACCTGTGGGTCCCCAGATGTTTTGACCTTCAACTCCCAGAAATCCTAACAGCTGGTAAACTTGCTGGATTTCTGAGAGTTGTCGGCCAAAACACCTGATGACCCACAGACTGAGAACTGCTGCTCTAGATCCTCCAGTGGTCAACTTCCACCAGAAGTTAGGTGGACTATTGACCACACTTAAGGTCCTAGGGGTTCCTAAAAAGGCGTTCTCTCATGTTTAAAAAAATACAGTGTTCCCTCACTACTTTGTGGTTCACTTTTCGCGGACTTGCTGTTTTGCAGATTTTGAGGGCTGGGATTTCTGGGAGTTGTAGGTCAAAACACCCACAGTTTGAGAACCACTGCTCTAGATCCTCTAGTGGTCAACTTCCACCAGAAGTTGGGTGGATTGTTGACCACACTTAGAGGTCCTAGGGATTCCTAAAAAGGTGTTATCTCATGTTTAAAAAAATTACAGTGTTCTCTCGCTACTTCGTGTTCACTTTTTGCAGACTCGCTGTTTCGCAGGTTTCGCAGAATGGGATTTTCAAGAGTTGTAGGCCAAAAGACCTGGGGACCCACAGGTTGAGAACTACTGTCCTAGAGGAAATGAAGCCAGCACTCTCCCTAGAAGCCACTGCTGGAGCTTGGCCATATCAGGAGAAGACAGAACTCATAGAAAATCATGTTTGGTAAGAAACAAGGCAATAGAAATAGACTAAATTCCAGACAGAGAGACTTAATCGACAACACCACAGCTATCTTGAGTCTGCAAGACCTGAGCAGGGCTGCTGAGGATTGGTGTATTTGGAAGTCAAGGTTGACTTGAGAGCAGTTAACAAGAGCAACAACTCTCATGACACAATAGGATGATGTAGGAAAAGGGAAACAGCCATAATGATCATAGCAACTTCCATTCGCCCTGCAATGAAGCTTAGCTTTTCCAGGAAAAGGCGACAGATGCACCTCAAAACTTTAATTTTTTATTTATTTTTGTTTCTGTTATAATTGTTGTGTTGGTTGATTCTCAATTTTTGGTCCTCCAGATGTTTTGGACATCCTCCTCCAGAAGCTTTGTCCAACTGGCTGAGTCTTCTGAAACCTGAAATCCAAACTGTCTGATGGACCACACATTGAGAACCACAGTTCGAGCATCCTGGTCAGTTGGAAACCTATCTTCCAGTTTCTTTTTCCATCTTCTCCTTTCAACAGTCAGCCTTTCTGGCAGTCTTTGAGGATTTCCTGTTGCTCAGGCTCCAAGCTTAGGCAACAGACAACATTTAATTTCCCTGCATTTAAATTAATTAGCATCACAATGTCGTCTAAAATGACTTCATTTGTAAATCCTCTGGGGAAGCGAGTGTGTCATTTGTGTGTTGAGAGGCTCCTACGCACTGCCAGGGATGAATCAGAGTTAATATACTTAAAGCGCAGGAATATGCAAATAAGTTAGGATTTGAAGGGCGTGTGTGTGTGTTGTGGGGGGGGGGGTATGTGTGTGTTACTGCTGTGGAATTGCCTCCCCAGAACATTAACAACCCAACAATAACAATACTAGTCATCAAGTTTTCTTCTAGTTAATATCAGAGTTCGGGAAAGTGATTCTTTTGAATGACAAAGTATAGAATCCTGGCAATCTATTATACAGTTCCCCCTTCCCCATATTCATGAGTTTAGGAGCACAGCGTTCCCAGAAAATATAGTGGAATTGGGGCAAGTATTCCTGGAGGTCTTCTTCGATTTGCAGAACTCATGGTCTGCGGGGCTCCTTAAAGGAAAGGTTATGAAGAATGTGCATCTCGCAAACGGGCCAAACAGCTGTCTCCCCCCACCCCCAACAAAGCCTGGTGCCACTGTCTGCACACTCACATGACTGCCTCACATTTTATGAGGGGACAAGCAATCATAACTGCCACCCTTTCTAAATGCTTGAGGTTGCCATGTGCATATTAATACAGTAGCTCAGTGGTTCTTAACATGTGGGCTGCAGACCACTAGTGGGCTGATAGGATGAAAATCCGGTCCATGAACCTTCTTCCTCTTTATTTTATTTTATTTCAACTTCTTTTGCACTGCCTACCACTCCTTCCCTGTTGCTGACCAGCCTCACTCCTTTGGATAGACCACATCAGCTCTAGATGATTAAAAATGCACCACCAGTGGGCTGAGAGGATGAAAATTGATCCGTGAACCTTCTTCCTCTTTATTTTATTTTATTTCCACTCCTTTTGCACTGCCTACCACTCCTTCCCTGTTGCTGACCAGCTTCACTCCTTTGGATAGACCACATCAGCTCTAGATTATTAAATATGCACCACCAGTGGGCTGAGAGGATGAAAATTCGGTCCATGAACCCCTTCCTCTTTATTTTATTTTATTTCCACTCCTTTTGCACTGCCTACCACTCCTTCCCTGTTGCTGACCAGCCCCGCTTCCTTGGATAGACCACATCAGCTCTAGATTATTAAATATGGACCACCAGTGGGCTGAGAGGATGAAAATCTGCTCTGTGAATCCCCTTCCTCTTTATTTTATTTTATTTCCACTCCTTTTGCACCACCTACCACTCCTTCCCTGTTGCTGACCATCCTTGCTCCTTTGGATGGTCAGCTCTGGATTATTAAAAATGCACCACCAGTGGGCTGAGAGGATGAAAATCTGGTCCATGAACCTTCTTCCTCTTTATTTTATTATATTTTATTTTATTTCCACTCCTTTTTCACCACCTACCACTCTTTCCCTGTTGCTGACCAGCCCCCCTTCCTTGGATAGACCACATCAGCTCTAGATTATTAAATATGCACCACCAGAGGGCTGAGAGGATGAAAATCCGGTCCATGAACCTTCTTCCTCTTTATTTTATTTTATTTTATTTCCATTCCTTTTGCACTGCCCACCACTCTTCCCTGTTGCTGACCAGCCCTYCTTCCTTGGATAGACTACATCAGCGCTAGTTTATTAAATATGGACCACCAGTGGACTGAGTGGATGAAAATCCGGTCCATGAAACTCCTTCCTCTTTATTTTATTTTATTTTATTTTATTTTATTTTATTTTATTTTATATTATTTTATATTATTTTATATTATTTCCACTCCTTTTGCACCGCCTACCACTCCTTCCCTGTTGCTGACCAGCCCCGCTTCCTTGGACAGACCACATCAGCTCTAGATTATTAAATATGGACCACCAGTGGGCTGAGAGGATYAAAATCCAATCCATGAACCTCTTCCTCAATATTTTATTTTATTTTCACCCCTTCCCTGTTGCTGACCAGCCCCGCTTCCTTGGATAGACCACATCAGCTCTAGATTKTTAAATATGCACCACCAGTGGGCTGAGAGGATGAAAATTGGTCCATGAACCTTCTTCCTCTTTATTTTATTTTATTTTATTTCCACTCCTTTTACACTGCTTACCACTCCTTCCCTGTTGCTGACCAGTCCCGCTCCTTTGGATAGACCACACCAGCTCTAGATTATTAAGTATGGACCACAAGTGGGCTGAGAGGATGAAAATCTGGTCCGTGAATCCCCTTCCTCTTTATTTTATTTTATTTCCACTCCTTTTGCACTACCTGCCACTCCTTCCCTGTTGCTGACCAGCCCCGCTTCCTTGGATAGACCACATCAGATCTAGATTATTAAAAATGCATCACCAGTGGGTTGAGAGGATGAAAATGCGGTCCATGAACATTCTTCCTCTTTATTTTATTTTATTTTATTTCCACCCCCTTTGCACTGCCTACCACTCCTTCCCTGTTGCTGACCAGCCCCACTTCCTTGGATAGACCACATCAGCTCTAGATTATTAAATATGGACCACCAGTGGGCTGAGAGGATGAAAATCCGGTCGGTGAACCTTCTTCCTCTTTATTTTATTTTATTTTATGTCCACTCCTTTTGCACTGCCTACCACTCATTCCTCGTTGCTGACTAGCCTCGCTACTTTGGATAGACCACATCAGCTCTAGATTATCGAATATGGCTTGGACAGTGCTTGGAAAAGGTGATCATTGATACTCCATCTTCCAGAAGGCTGATCCAATCAACAATAAGAGGACAGAACAGCACTGGTGGCCTTTCCGGACCACTTCCCAGAGGTCAGTTTTGAGAAGGTGGTTGGAGAAGGAGATTGTTGGTGCACCATCCTTCCAAAGCCTGAAACATCTGCATCAGACTTTGGTAGGACAGAGCAGCATTGACAATCCTCACCACCTGACTTCCAAATTCTACAACTGTTGCATCACCACTCACCTGCTCAATCTCTGAGGATGCCTGCCAGAGATGCAGGCGAAACATCAGGAGAGAATGCTTCTGGAACATGGCCATATAGCCCGGAAAACCCACAACAACCCAATTTATTTTGCATCAATGGCACAGGCCTACTTCCTATACATAACCCTGTCCTGCTACCATTGGGTGAAAGACTTGGAGGAACTGACTGCACATATGGAAAGAGCTTTTAATAGTACCATTAGATTTGCATTTCTTGACTTCTAATGGATAATAAAAGCATAATCATTTAAGCAAGATAAGCTGATTAAATTGGTTGTGCATTCTGAGCTACTTTTGTTTCCTGCTCTATGTAGCTCTGTGTAGTAGAAGGAAGATAACTACTCCAGTAGGCTCTGAAGAATAATTTCCAAAAATGCGACAAAACAACAGAGTTGCATTTTTGATCAAGACGTGAAACGTGAAAAGTGTTGTTGTTACACAAGGATCACTGCAGAGCTCTTGGAGTGGAACAAGTCCCTGAAGATTAGCGTCCTTAAAAATATAGGGACTGTAAACTACAGTTCATAAAACTGACCCTCCCGACTCCTGTTCCCTATTTCAAAACTTCAATTTTGTTGCTGACTGTGACTCAGCATACTTCCAGTTCTTCTCCTTCTTCTCCTTACTATGCCTCTTTTTTTCAAACTCATAAAAGGTTACCTGCTAAATGTTTGGCACCATAAAATCGGAGCCCTGGAAAATTACCATACTGGTGATTTGGAGAATTGTAATCCAAACAGGAATCATTCCCAACAGATAGGAAAAAATATACTTCCTTCTAAGATATTTCAAGATGAGCATCCCTTATCAAGAATTCCCCTTCACATCCAAAAATGCCAGCATGGGCAGCTTTGTATTGTCGAAGACTTTCATGACTGGAATCACTGTGTTGTAGGTTTTTTCAGGCTATATGGCAATGTTCTAGAGGCATTCTCTCCTGACGTTTTGCCTGCATATATGGCAAGCATACTCAAGGATGAGGATGCTTGCCATAGATGCAGGTGAAACGTCAGGAGAAAATGCCTCTAGAACATGGCCATATAGCCCGAAAAAACCTACAATAACACATGGGCAGCTTTGATAGGGACACCTTCGCTTTCTGATGGTTCAGTGTACATAAACTTCATGTTCTACATTGACATTATTTAAAATGCTGTATAAAATTAATTTATGATTGTGTGCATCTGAAACATAAATGGATTTTGTATTTGGACTTGGATCCCATCGCCATGCAGCCCCCGATGGCACAGTGCGTTAAACTGCTGAGCTGCTGAACTTGCTGATCAAAAGATCATCGGTTCGAATCCAGGAAGCGGAGTGAGCTCCTGCTGTTAGCCCAAGCTTCTGCCAACCTAGCAGTTCAAATCATGCAAATCTGAGTAGATCAATAGTTACCACTCCAACGGGAAAGTAACCACGCTCCATGCAGTCATGCCAGCCATATGACCTTGGAGGCGTCCACAGACAATGCCGGCTCTTCAGCTTAGAAATGGAAATGCACCAACCCCCAGAGTTGGGCACGACTGGATTTACCTTTCCTTACCCATCGCCAAGATATCTCATTATATATATATATAACCCTAAACGGCCCTGGTCCAAATTACATGTCCAAATGCATCTCCCCCTATGAACCATCATGGAGATGATCCACGGAGGAGAAGATCCTCCGGGGAGGCCGTGCTTTCTGTCCCGCCATTGTCACAGGCAAGATTGGTGGGGCCGAGAGAGAGGGCCTTCTCGGTGATTGCTCCCTGGCTATGGAACATCTTTCCTGGTGAGATCCGGTTGGCCCCCTCCCTCCTGTCCTTTAGAAGGATGGTCAAAACTTGGCTGTGGGACCAAGCTTTCGGGATAGGGCAGTGAAGCGGCAGTGGGAAAGATGACAGAGCCAATTGGATTTGATGCAGATGGCTAGAATGGTTTTAAATGATGTATTTTAATATTTTGATAAATGTTTTTTATTGTTTATGTATTGTATGTGAATATGTGTCCCGGCATTGAATGTTTGCCATGTATATGCTGTGGTCCGCCTTGAGTCCCCTTCAGGGTGAGAAGGGTGGAATATAAATGTTTTAAATAATAAATAAATAAATAAATATGCAAATATTATAAAATAAAAAGCCAAAACCAAAACACTTAGAATCATAAGGTCATAGAGTTGGAAAAGACCACAAGGACCATTCAGTCCAACCCCATTCTACTCAATGAAAGCACTCTTGACAGATGACTATCCAGCCTCTGCTTAAAAACCTCCAGAGGAGACTCCACCACACTTCTGCCCCCAGTTTTTCTGGATAAGGGATACTCAACCCATATTTTCCTTTCAAGAGATGGACTGGCACACTTTGCACCAGCCTATGCCTTTGAGCATTTGAACAGGACTCACTTGCCTTCCAGTAATTCTGCATGAAGGATTTCAACCAGGTTGCCAGAAAACAGTCCACCAAAGCTTTGTACCAGAAGGGTTTGTGTTTTCCATGGAAGGTCAAGGGTGGTGACCTTCACCTAAGCCATTGGGTGAGCTCACTGGCAGCTTACCTCCTCAAAAAGTTCCAAGCTGTAGGTGTTATCATCATCAGCAAAGTACACAATTCCCGGCTGGCTGTTGTTTTTGTTAAAAGTCTCCCTCAGCCACCTTAGGGCCAGGTTCCTCTGCATTGTCCCCCTGGGTATCCGTGGGTCCCTCATGTCCCCTCTCAGCTTGTAGTTACGTGGAGTCTCCACATTGAGGTGGGTGTAGTTCAGCCCCGTGTCCCTCAGGAGCCGCGTGACCAGCGAGGTCCGCCGCTGAGAGTCCTCCACCAGGATCCAGTGCAAATTGGGGACGTGCAAAAAAGTGTTGGCCAGTCGCGTCAACTCTGCCTTTTGGACCGGCCTGCTGTAGGTGGGTGTGATGACATGGATGGTGGGCAAGGCGTCCGACCACGGAGGCGGCCGGGTGTAGACGTACTCTGTCCTAACCACCTCTACAATGTCTCGGTCTGACAGGCAGTACTCCTTGGAGTCGGAGCCTTGGGAGAAGTCGCGATGGGCATCTCCACCATCTTCTGAAGCAGCATATGGAAGAACAGAGAAAGAAGAATGTGTCAATTGGCATAGATGGTCAAAGAATAAAGGAATCTCTTGGTTGAGGAAGGAAGTAGGAAAAGAAAGAATGGGAAGCAGAAGCCATGAGCAGATAACGTTGGAAAGGGGAAAGAGAAAATGGGAATTCACCTCCAGGGCCATTACTAATACAATTCTGGACTGGGATAATTATAGTAGGCCTGCCATTTCTGCAGGTGGAAGAAGCGTGAGACACCCATAAAAGTGAAAGGCAACAAATACAGAAAAACTCTACAGTCTTCCCTCACTTATTGCGGGTATTACGTTCCAGGACCACCCACAAAAAGTGAAAATCCACAAAGTATGGACACAATATATGTATACTAGACATCCACTGCCATGCGTTGCTGTGGCCCAGTCTGTGTATATATATTTTGTGTGTGATGGATGTGTATATGTGTGCTTTTTTGCATGCATTGTAATGTATTTTTATTTTTTGGCTTCTTAAGACTCTTCTGCTGTGTTTTTCAGTGTTTTTTATGAGTGATGGTCACTTGTTGGCCTGATAAGTGTATTGTTGCCAAATTTGGTGTCAATTCGTCCAGTGGTTTTTGAGTTATGTTAATCTTACAAATGAACATTACATTTTTATTTATATAGACTAGCCGTTCCCTGCCACACGTTGCTGTGGCCCACTCTGGTGGTCATGGGGGTTCTGTGTGGGAAATTTGGCCCAATTCTATCGTTGGTGGGGTTCAGAATGCTCTGTGATTGTAGGTGAACTACAAATGCCAGCAACTACAACTCCCAAATGTCAAGATTCTATTTTCCCCAAACTCCACCAGTGTTCACATTTGGGCATATTGAGTATTTGTGTAGAGTTTGGTCCAGATCCATCATTGTTTGAGTCCACAGTGATCTCTGGATGTAGGTGAACTACAACTCCAAAACCAAAGGACACTGCCCACCAAATCCTTCCAGTATTTTCTGTTGGTCATGGGAGAACTGTGTGCCAAGTTTGGTTCAATTCCATCGTTGGTGGGGTTCAGAATGCTCTTTGATTGTAGGTGAACCATAAATCCAAGAAACTACAACTCCCTAATGACAAAATCATTTTTTTCCAGTGAAGGACATACATTGGGTTTTTATGTGTCTTGTGTCCAAATTTGGTGTCAATTCGTCCAGTGGTTTTTGAGTTCTGTTAAACACACAAACGAACATTACATTGTTATTTATATAGATTGCGTTCCGAGAGTGAGGCAGAAGTGAGGAGAGTTTTAAAGGCACAGAACATCTTTTTTCCCATAGCTATTTCTGCTTTGCTCTTGATTAACTGCCTCTCTCCCAAGGGAGAGGGTAAAACCCCCTTCCACACTCCATCCTTGCCAGAAGGAGGGATTAGAATGCTGCTCTGGGCAACGGCAACCATTTATAAACTGGGAGGTAAAAACCCGCAAAACAGCAAGTCCGCAAAAAGCGAACCACAAAGTAGCGAGGAAACACTGTATTTTTTTAAACATGAGAGAACACCTTTTTAGAAATCCCTAGGACCTCTAAGTGTGGTCAACAGTCAACCCAACTTCTGGTGGAAGTTGACCACTGGAGGATCTAGAGCAGTGTTTCTTCAGGTGTTTTGGTCTACAACTCCCAGAAATCCCATCCAGTTTACCAGCTGTAAGGATTTTTGGGAGTTGAAAATCAAAACTTCTTGGGACCCACAGGTTGAGTAGAGATTTCTACAGAGAGTATAATAAATCTGTGAATAATCAAATCTGCAAAAGTCAGATCAGCACAAGACTAAAGATGCTTCTTTTTTGGACCAAAATGGGAACCAAATGTGATGCCACACCTCAGCAGGTTGTCTGTCTGTAAGTGAAAATTGGTCCATGAAGAGTTGCCCACGCTTGGCCCGGAGCAATTTTCCGGTGTAGGTGTTTTGTCTCAAGTACTTGTGCCAGATACGTTTCAACATGACTGTCTTCTTTATCTTTATTGAAAGGATAAAGGTTCAGGGAGAGATGGCACTGAGCCTTTTGCAAGCTATTTTGACTTCAAAAGAGAGAAAAGAAGCTTCACTTGAACTTGCATCTTTTGAAATTCTGACTTTTGACAGAAAAGGGAATACTCCCTAATGGAAGAATTTTCTTGAATTCACGCTTGGTATACTGGAAACCCTTTATTCTGTCATCTGTGAATAACTGATTTATTCACTTCTACTGAGAAAGACTGTCATATGGAAGCACACGTACCAATAATAAATGAGACAAAGCATCTGCATACAAGGATAAAGCAAAGCATGAAAACGTATTCTGGATGAAATGCGTAATGGATGCTAACACATTTCTTTGTCTTTCATGAGACAAGTATCTTGAGACACTGAAAAAGCTCATCAAGAACATAGTCAACTACCACAGGATATTTCACATTTCAGTCTTGTTTTGCTGCAAAAAATATTTGCTCCAAAGAAAGTCCATCTGAACTCCACAGCAATGACTTCCAGTTGTTGGAAATAGCAACCTTCCAAGCCTCCACTGACTGTTTGTTAATGTATATACAATTGTTAGCCTGCATCCTATGGGTATGTTGTTTTACCAGTTTGGCTTACCCCCTTGATGTGGGAGGAGTTATACTGAGCATGTGCAAACTCAGGACTCCATTTTGTGTTTAGTTTGCTTTCAGACTTATTTATTTATTTATTTATTTATTTATTTATTTATTTTGGGCATTTCTACCCCACCCTTCTCACCCCCTAGGGAGGACTCAGGGCGGCTTACATCCGGCACAATTCGATGCCAACAATTACAATAAAAATGCAAATAACAATAAACACAATAGTTAAAAACATACAATTAATACAATATCAACTAAAAAGCCGATCTACAGCCCGCGTTTATCGAGTTCTAAAATCCGTCAATCCATTTAGCATTACCATAATCCTTTCCAACTCTAGTCATCATTACCTTGTTAGTCTGCCAGATTACCCAAACGCCTGGTCCCATATCCATGTCTTCAGCTTCCTTCTGAAGGAGAGGAGAGATGTTGACGACCTGATTTCCCTGGGGAGTGAATTCCARAGGCAAGGGGCCACCACTGAGGAGGCCCTGTCCCTTGTCCCCACCAGCCTCACTTGTGATAAAGGTGGGGCCGAGAGCAGGGCCTCCCCAGAAGATCTTAAACTCCGCGGTGGGACATAGAAGGAGATACGTTCGGACAYGTACGCTGGGCCYGCGCCGTATAGGGTTTTATAGGTCAAAACCAGCACTTTGAATTGTGCTCGGAACTGGATCGGCAGCCAGTAGAGCTGACATAGCAAAGGAGTAGTATGCTCCCTGTATAACGCTCCGGTGATTAATCTGGCTGCTGCCCGTTGGACTAGTTGAAGTTTTCAAACAGTCTTCAAAGGCAACCCCACGTAGAGCGTGTTGCAGTAATCTATTCTTTGGAGGTGGTTGTTTGCCCGCCAAGCCCCAAAATAATGAGACCACACACCAGCATTTGGGTTTAAATATGGGCAACTTTTATTGACTGTTACCTATTAAATTTTGAATGGATCTAAATCTATGGACCCTAAACTTGGTGGCAAAACTGAGGTAGCATCCCTACTCTGCCTACCCCTTGGCTAGTTAGGGTGAAATACCCGGGTTTCCTGGAAACCTAACCCGGGCAACTTCTAAGGAAAATGTGTCAGAGAAGTCCCTCTCAGGGTATCTGAAACCCGACTCTCCCCATTCCTAGGCCATTAGAATTCCCCTCACCTCATCAAATTGAACCTTAGGTGAGTGTTTTAGTTAATGGCCTTCACCCGTGAAGGTTGTGCCTTGGGCATACACCACATTTTAGCTTTCCCTAACTGTTTACCGTGAACACCTATTTAATGGCACACTGTCCCAATTGCCCTGCAACAGTATAGGGTAGGTGAAAAAACCCTCTTAGAGCGTGAGAGGGGAAGAAATTCCTACCCAGTGCCTTAATGGCAACCCTAATATACTGTTTAATGGGTGGGAGTGGTGGGTCGACGCTCAGCTTCAGAATGAAAGGGGCGGGCCAGTGCCAAGGGCCTGGCTCTGCCCCCTTCAAAGTAGTTCCAAAAGGAACTATATTGTTCTCTCCTCAGGGGAGGAGGGAAACAACTTTCCCACCCTAGCTGTGCCAGGGTGGGAAAGGTTCATCTGCTTATAAGTACAGATATGTTTAAAGACTATGTGCCTGTATGGTGAATATATGCAAGTTTGTTAGTAAACAAGATATGCAATTTTTTTTCAAAGAAGACTACTTTGTTTTGTCTCTTGAGTACATGTTTTAAGGGAGTGTATAACTTTTGGGCAACAATAAATTACAACTGCAAATTCTACTTCAAACAACCATCCTCTGCTAACCAGACATATTTTGTAATGGCCTGTCTTTATCCTTGGCTGTTTAAAGACATGCTTCCTCAGTTTAACAGCTGAGCTACATGTGTGCTATTACATTAATGTTTTATAAATATCACTTGTCTCAAGGTTTGACTTCTAACAAGGGCATACCATTTGGTGATAATATGATAGCTAGGTCTGGAAGCTCCGTGCGTTACACACATTCCACAACGGCGGTTGTGAATAAGGGAAGGGGAGAGCGGCACACTGAGGGTGGGAATATACTTCAATTTGGTGGAAGGAGAGAAAGGAAGGGAGGGTTAGGATAAAGTTTAGGGTAAGGTTTAGAGTTTGGGGTAGGGTAAGGGTTAGGACTAGGGTTAGAATTAGGCTTAGGGATTAGGTTTAGGGATTGGGTTAGGATTAGGGTTAAGGGTTAGGATTAGGGTTAGGGTAAAGGTTAGGGTTTTACCATTAAAGAATTCCGACATTCCTTCTATAATATCTGTGTTCCGTTCTGTGTTGCGCAAACAGCAATCCCAAAGGAGTGAAGCGGAAAGAGCGTAAGGCTCAGAGCTTCCGGACCCAGCTTTCATACTATTACCTGCCATTCTTTTGACAAGTGGTTTTCGGGTGATTTCTATGTCCAT